CAATGTCACCCCGGCACGATTCCACCCCTTCGTGCAACGTTTTTATTCGTCCAGTTTTATTTCGCGCTTACGGAGTCACGCGAGTCCGCTCGCGTCTATCCCTCGGAGTATCAAAGACCAATCCCCTCGAAGGGTGCACGCTTATACAGCGGTGGATACAGTGGATTTAAACGTAGATATCGCGCCCCTGATGTCTACGAGTCGGGGTTCTCGTATTTTCGTGCGATACGGCGAATTTGTCGAGTGTACGTGGCCATTTTACTCGACTGACTTCCACCCTCGCGAGACTCCACGTTTTCGACGTTGTCCGGAGTCGAACGAATCCACCCCACCCCCCCCCCCTCCCCCCGCCTGAGCAGAAGGTCTCGTAATGAAATTCCCCTGGTCTGTCATTTATTACTCGCTAATGACCGGCGCGTTTCATTCGTTGCGCTCACAAAATGCCCACATTAATTGTATCACGGTACTTGGAGCAGGTGGAAAATGGCACGCGATGAATGATGCGTACCGAACGTTTCGCAAGAGGATGTAATATTCCCTGCGGAGGTTCCGTTCCTGATTAATGGTTCCAGTGTTTTGTAACGCTTACGTCCCCGAGGTTTCTCCTGCCCCTGATTCTGAATTCGGAGGATCGGAAGTGTGGTAATTCACGGCATGGGAGGAAAGTACCAATTTATGGATGTCTGGCCAGTTATAGATTATTATCCCTTCGGAAATACTAGGGTACGTGATACCTAGGTAGAAAATTGCCTCCTGCGATCGAGTACCGTCAGTCATATCGACGCAACAACTGAATACCGCGAGTCATGTGAACGAAACAATCGAGTACTGTGACTCCTACTGCACTGCATGACCGCATACTCTGATTGTCGTCGAGTGCCAACTGAATACTGCAACTATTTTCGACGTACAACAAGTAAGTATAGTTACTTGCGTCTTTCTAGCAAGTGAATACCGTGAGTCATGTCGATGCAACAACTGAATAACGTCAATCGTGCCGATACTACGACCCAGTACTATGAGTAATGTAAATGCAATTTTTGGGCGATCTTCAGAATTTAATATAAGGGAAAGTAGAAAACGTAGGTGTTTGAGTATCTACGTTTCTGGAAAGCAGAAACTTTTGGCGCTCTAAATTTGCTAAAAATTGATTTTTTCGCCCGGAACATGAGAAACCCCCCTTAGCAACGAACGAGATATTCTATACCGAACCGCGCCGGAGGGGGGGGGGCGCGTGGAAATAATGTTTTGCCATTCCTTTGATATATAGGACTCGTATATTTTTCCCCCCTGTGACGCCCAATATGCAGAAACCGGGTCGGCGTACAACGTGCGGGTGCGTAAACCATGAAAAAAGCATAACTACATAAAGAACCAGCCCCGTGCAATAAGCTGGCTCTGCAGGTACGGTTTTTATTTTTCCTTTTTTAATGCCTACGCCAGCCCTCCGACAGCGTATAACACCGGAAGGGGGAGGGAAGTGGCATCCGCGTGGTCCATGAAAGTGTCGCGGGACTGTGATATTCTTTAAACAAATGTGAGCTTTTTAAAAGGATAATGGTAAAGAAGGGTTTTCGATGTGCAAAAAAATGAACCGAATTCACGTTCTTATTTATACGCGCAGAAAAGCTGCCCTCAATTTATTTCGTTCTACATAAATATACGTGCTCGGTGCTTCGGGAAATGGTCTTATTTCTCACCAGGGACTGGCTCGCTACGGAATTACCGCGAATGTTATAAAACACTTTACGGAATATACTGGGTGATTTCAGCAAACCGGAGTCGGGCTATATTTTTTCTAGAGATATAAAAAATTATAGGGAACAATTTTATTCGTCTAATACATTTCTACCGATAGCAACCTCGTCGTTCTTTCTTGCTGTTTTTACGAATTCAAATATTTAATGGTCTTGCTTAAAATAGAGCGTGAGGCGCCTAACATGCTCGCCTCGAGTGTGAATTATGCATTATGTGAAGAATCGTTTTGTACAAATGATCCAGTTGCATGATTCCAAAGGCATTTCGAGGCTTACGTATTTCTTTTTGTCAGACACAGCATAGTGCTACCCACGAAGAAACTAATGCCATTAAATGGTCTTCCTAAGAACTATATATCTTTTGTTGGAAACACGTCATCCTATTACTGGGAACAGCAAAGATATTAAGACGTCTTGCCCGGCGTTGGGGAACCTCGAATTGCCAGGCATCGATCAATGCAGTATTTCCGAACACAGTACTTGAAATTAATTTGCATACACGGGGGTATCTAGGAAATGTACTACTTTGGAAGTGGAATATTCCGATACTGATCAGACAGCGGCGGAAAATTTTGAACGATGTTTCGTTGGAAGGCTTGATTAACCTACCCTTTGAAGCCACTCAACCTACTTTGATATTACTTGTAAAGTGCAAAATGTCATTCTGATTAATTATCCAACCCTCGATGGCCAGAACGAATTAGAGGACTTTGCGGTTAGGGGATTACATATAATTAAATTTACGACTTATACTAGAACTCCGTTTCAATTAAAATTTTCATAAATGTAATAAGCAATACACCCCTAAAAAAAAAATATTTTCTCATTCTAAATGATGCAAATAAACACAGACACTCGACCCTTGGGAATTAATTCTAAGAGCGGAGTTTATTTTGGACGGATTCTTCTATACGGTTCTCCAAGTTCTCTAAGAATTTCTCGAATATACCCGGGATCATAAATCGGACGTCGTCGATGTCTTCGTATTTTTTGATACGGGGGATATTTTATACTCGGGGACACGTTTCGAAGAAGTACGGTTGTAACGCGAACACGACGGTGTGAAATATAGGGGTGGCTCAGCGAAAATTTCTCACCGTGAAAACGTTGCGTTGGTCGAACTGCATGATTTATCAGGAAGCGGCCAACTGCGGACAGTAACTAACGCGGTCCTGGTCCCGCGATCGCGGATGAATTTATTGCAAATCTGACGTCCTGCCGCCCCGGAGGGCATTTCTCTTGTTTGTGAAAAATCGTCGCGTCGTTTAACAACACTCTGCCCGACGAGTGCTGTGAATTACCAACGCTTTGTTTTGAATCAATAACCGTGAACAGCCACTTGAATTCCCCTCTGGGAAAAATATTTTTTTAATCCTTGCGCTCCCTATTCATTCGTGACTTAATTCTCGTAACGAAGATAATCCGGTTTGCGGGAAACCGGGGGCAATTTCATTTTGAAACAAAAATAATAAATAACTGCTCGAAGCAATAATTACTTGAAATTTCGTCTCGTTATTTAAAATAACAGAGACTCTAACTACCATGGAGTTGCTTCGTTATTTTCCCATTTTTCTCTGTTTCATTTTAATATCGTTCTCCCAGGACTCAGTATTTTATGATCTGCTCCCACGAACTCCTCACTTTGTATATTTGATCGTCGATACATTCCTTCTCTTTATAGATGGAAATATCTTTTATTGCTATTCATATTCGAGCCGTCTGACCACACACTGTCCCATGCTTCCTGCCCGATTGCGTACTTGCATATTCTGCTTTAGCTACGTCCGCCCAGACACGTCATATTCCACTGGCAGTCGGTTCGCCGCTATATCATGAAATCGCATCCGCGATGAATTCGGAGTATTCCAATTTATAGCGCGTGCATTCAATTTCGATGATAAATAACGGAGAGGCAGGAAAGTCGCGCCCGTATTTCGTGAGAAAAAATTTAGTCCGTCGAGCGGACCGTAAAATTAAAAATTATAATTAATTGGCCTGGCAATTAATTCCGGAACTAATTTCCCCGCGATCGATCCCCTTCCTAATTAAATAAGTTTTTCAAATAATTCTCGTGTGGGACAGATACGTTGTACGGAACTAAAAAAAATTAATTCTAAGGTCGAGGCGTCGGAGGAAATGAATTTTTTCGCGCGTTAAAAATTCTCCGAATCGCGATGTTGGAAAAATTTCAACGCGTCGTCGGGATTCGAAACTATCCATTTCCGCCACGTTGCACAATGGTCGGACGCAATACTCGTTTTCGAAGAGCAGAAGGAAGCGTTCACAGAACCGCAAAACGCTGAGCGCTCCTTATCAGTTAAAGCATTTCCCAAGTATTGAATTCCACGATTCCTGAGCGAGCGTCGATAGCACTTAGCCGGCGTCGTTATAGCGGCCGTTTCCAAGTTGGAAACGATACGTGCGACGCCAAGTACCGGGAGCCTTCCGTTCCTAACGAAATCGATGTCGTTCCGTTACTGCGCGGATCCATTAGCATCTTTTCCCCGGTTCTTATCTGCCGACGGCTACAGGTGGGGGACCGAAGAAATAGGTTATTATTTTTGCGCGACGCCCACGCCAATTGCCTGGCAACAGGACGACAAAAACGGGGGATTCCGCGACCGTTCCCCTCGAGGAACTCGCGGGCCGGACAAACGTACCAAGGGTTTGGATGAAAAGCACGTAGTCGGGGGAGTGTTTCAGCTGGATCGAGATAACGAAAAAGGGTCTCGAGAGGGATGATCGATAGGGGTAAACTGGTCGATCGGCAGTGACCCAGTTACGTCCGACACAAAATTTCACGACGTCGGATATATTTTTCGCCGCGCGCCCGGCCACGGTTACACGGAATTCCGTAGCACCCTCTAATTACAAAACAGTTTGCCAGCTGACCGAATGCACGCGCGTACCCGTGTTAGTGGCCTGGTCCACGAACGCTTCGCCCGATTTTCGTTGCCCGTAGTACGAAATCTCTGCTTTGCGTTTTAATTTCCCAGAAAGGTATCGGTCCGATCGTCTAACACACGTTTTACTTGCACGATCATACTAGAAATCCTTTGCTTGTCTGACCATGTGTTTGGAATTTCTACTTGTATGACCATACATTTGGAATTTCTACTTGTCGGGCCATACGTGCTCTCTTCTACTTACCTAAAACGGAGTCTGCAACGATTGTACTTCCTTCCAAGTGTTATGAAGATTTGTTTACCGATCTGACCGTATGCAATAACGTATTGGTTCCAGGTGCGTTCGAGGTCGTTGACCCAGCTGGACGCTCTGGGCAACAGCATGCTGGACACGGGGGAACACCATCTGGGGGGTGGACCCTCGCAACAGCAACCCCATCATCTTCACCACCATTACCAACCTCAGCAAATACAGCACCACCCCCAAAGCGTCGAGAGTAATCCTCGGTTTCTTGTACCCAGTGCGGCGTCTACCGAGGGTACACACCAGAACCGCACCAGACACAAGCTGTCTCGGTCTCAGGTTAGTAGAGGACCCGGTTAATTAACGGCATAAATAATCGAGGGATTTTTAATTCCACGGTTTTAGGGAATGGATGGAGACACGTACCACGTTTGAGTTACGAAATTTGACTCGAGGAATAATGTTTTTCTGGTACAATAGCGTCGAAAGTAAGGGAAGAACGGTCGTTCTAATTCGCGGGTAACAATTAAAAGCTGCCCCAATTTTAGTGGTGCCGTCGGCTTATGTAACCTTTACGTTCCCGCCAGTGTTGTTCCCCCGTCGGATCAATAATAGCAAACAATCCCGTGCACGCCAGACAAGGAATTAATCTCAATGTCCGACGGTAAGAGTATTTGCACTACTGACAGTAAAAGTAGACCGTCTGAATGAAACTACGGCCGAAATCGATTCGCGCTAAGTGAAGTAATTAACCCAAATTGTTTCGTCTCCTCTTGTCGAACGAAATCGATTCGGGACTTTGGACTAACATGGCGTACAAACGTGCCGACTAAATTCCAGCGTAGCAAACCTTCGTTTGGTATCGATGGGACAGTGAAAGATCATACTTGAAAGTAGTTTAGAGTCTTACTGGGTCAGACACTTTCGTCAGCTAATATTAGAGCCTAAGACTTGCCAAAAATTTCTAGACACTATTCGACTTGGAATTCGTGGTACTATATGCTTCTTAACGTCTTCAGGGATTACCTCCACAATTATATATATATTTTCCCCCGTATTCCTAGCAGACTTCGAAATCTATCAGTTTAAGGGAAAATTATTCGTTGTTGTTTACGTTTGTCTTTCTGATAGTACCACATTATTCTTAGCTGGGGTTTAGTCTTTCTTCCTCTCCACGATACACTGTACTGTATATATGTACACAATTCGATTTACTCGAAAAGCTCCCAGACCGCGTAATTCTAGAATCTCGTGTAGTACGTCAAGGATAATAGAATGTACGTTTTATTTGTTCCATCGTACGTAGACATTTATCCCTGTCTGACCATACGTAGATAGATACTACTTTGAATTTCCTTGACCGATCATACACCGATGTTTCTACTTGCGTGATCTTAAACCGAGGCATTTCAAGACTGATCTTTCGTTCTCCGTGCAACACAAATTGGTTCACCGGTTTGCGAAATCCACTTATCGTCGAATTCTTCGACTTTCCGAGTTAGAAACTCGATACCAACCGTGTTTGACGAAGTTTGGACTGACTTTTCAACGACAAAGCCGAGTTCGACGAAGGCCGGGGCGCTGGTTCCGCCCATAGCCGAACGAATTCTCGTCCCAGAAGGAGTTACACCGTGGTGAACTGACCCGACAACTCACGGAGTGGCCAGGTGTTTGTAGACGATTGGCCGTTTAGCAATTCAAATCGCAGTTTCCAGGGATGCGTCCGCGGAACGGCGGACACGTTGCCCGGCCGTTACCGGACGTGATGTAAATGAGACAATAAAATGTCCGCCAAGGCATTCGTCGTGGCGCACGTAATACCGGCGATTACGAGCCATTTACGTCCACGTCGGGTTTCGTTTTATTCCATCGGAATTAATTGTCCGGACTAACAGCCCCGCCCAGAAACACTGGCTCCTTAATTTTTTTTCGTGTTCCTCGGGGACGAGGGGTTGGGGCGTGACTTGAGTTCATTTATTGCCATGGAAACTACCCTCGTTGCTCTCAATTTTCGCCTCCCTTCTCGGTCGAGTTTCTTTCTTTGTTTTTCGGAATCCTCGACTTTTGGTAGATTGTTTCCAAGTATTCCTCAAGTTCACTAATCTCCGGCAGGTTGTACAAAGTGACCTAATTAAAAGAGAACAATCTTATACCTTTGTTATTTTGAATTATTCAAAGGATCAAGACAACAGACTCGCTGAGAATTAACGCAGTGTATTAAAAAAATATTTTTCGTATTGAAACAACTTGTTAAACAAATGGCGGAGACCTCGGGTATATCGATCGTACCGTTTCCTTGGAATAAATTCCCTAAACCTGGTTGCTTTTCAAAGACGACGACCCCCTCGGGAGTGAATAAAAATTTTGGTGTTTCTCTTCGAAGAAGTCATGGAAATTTCTTTTATCGTAACTTTCCGGCGCGTGGTGTCGAAGGAGAATGGAAAACTTCATTTCTGCGAACTTTCGGTGCGGCCCCCACGACGGTCTTGTCCGTACGTTGGAGCGTCCCGACGCCTCGACTTGATTCGAATAATACGAACACGGTGTCCTCGAATTGGCAACAATATTCCCGTCGCAAAACACGTTACCCGGGATAAAGAGATCTTTCATTTCGCCGCGCGCGGGAAAGAAATCCGGGCGAAATGTTTTTCCACGCCTCGATAAAGCCTTGGAGGGATCGGGGCGCGAGTCCTCACGGCTTTACGCGACGCCGATGGCTTTCTTTCGTTTCTCGTTTTCTGTGCAGACAGGAAAATCCTTCTACCTTTCCATTTTCTCGTCTACGAATCGCAACAAATCCTCAAACCGTTTCAAATTGTCACGGGTATCTTATTTTCGATTACCATTCTGCGCCTCGAACGAATCAGACGCGTGGCTCTACACACTCAAGGTCGCTCGAAGGTCACGGAGCTTCAATTCTTCTCAACGTGAAATAATATACTTGTTCCAGTTTACATGAACGAAGAAACTTTAGTTTTCAAAAAATAACGATCTGGAAATCATAACATTTAAAGTAGAATTATTAAAAAAAAAAAAAAAAAAGGCAACGATTCCCTTCGCGTTAAAGTAAAATTCCCGCTAATCGAATCACTCCGTAGCAATTTTTTTCTTCTACCAAGAAAATCTGCCAGCTGCTAAATGCAGCAGATTCGCTTCCTCCCCCCCTCGCGCTCGAAATTGGAAATACAATTACAAGACGATGTTCTCTGCTTCTTAGATATTATGGTGCGCGACAGCCGAGAGCACGGATGGTCCATCCACTTCCTCGTTATTAAGTATCGCGAAATCTCATCAAAGAAAGTGCCCGGAGTCGTCGCGCGAGCGAACACAAGGCCCGCTAGATATTATGCGAATGCTAATGCCGGTGTCCGTTTACGGATAGTCCCGCTCGAAAGTCGGTTAACTCTACGGGAATTGAAACGTTTAAATCGCTCGTTCGACGTCGTTTCGCTTGATAGTTTCGAAGGACTTTGCTTGCCGAAGAGATATCGACGTCGTAAAGATCTCAATTCTGATTCCTTTTTCTAAATTATGGATGTATTAAAGTCCTTAGCGTGTAAAAGATACAGTAAATGATTTCTAGATTTAAGACCCGTCCATTGGGAAAAGCTTCAATATATTTTAGTTCAAATTTCATTTTATCGTGGTGTTCGCGTTGAAACGGTTTCGCCCGTTATACGAGCATCGCGTACGTTTCGTGGATGAGAATAAAATGGAGTACAGAGCAACGAGACAGGCATTTCGACTCCATCGGCTGACAATTTCCTATTATTGGCGCCATTATCGTTCACCCTCCAAGTGCCGATATCATCGCCTCGCATCGATCGCGCCATTAGCTGTAGAATTTCGACGGAAACTTTGATTGGGAATAACAGGCGCGTTTGTAGCTTCGTCACGGACGCGTATTTATTTTTATGGGCGAGGTCGAACCCGACGGGGGACCCCCCTTGGGAAACGACGAAACGTCCCTTAGTCCTCGACAAATCGATATCGCGCAAACGGTTCGCTTGTCAGCTCGCGATTATCGATTCGTTGAATTTAAGTTTCGAATGTGCCCTAGGACACGCCATTACTCGTGCCAGGTTTCATTAACGGCGCGTCTACCGCGCCAAATTGGCCGGACATCCACAAACAATTACAGAAATTACTCGCAAAAATTGTCCACGATTCGATTATCAACAAACATGGACGTTATCGAATCGTGTATTATTTATTCTTCCCGTTAAACGTGATTATATGCTTTGTCCACCGCCAATAAATTTAACCAGTGTGATTCGTTGACCTACATACGAGCTTGAACAACAAACACCAAGCTCGTTTCGTTCGTATACGGAAAGATCTAATAACAAATATAGAACAATTATTGTCGACGTTTTATCTCCGCGAGTCAGCTTGGCGTACTGAATGCAATTTCGTCTTAAGGTATATTGGAAAACGGTAGGGGGATTAAAAAAGGAAAGGTTTTGGATTAAGTGTATGTTAGACCAACTTCCCGATCCGATCCTGAAAGAGAGAAGATATCCGAAAATATGGTAGAAAGGATTCTTGATAAGGATCACCTGATAAGATGAAAACGAACCCCGACAATCTCGAGCTGAAAACCTTCAAGGGATGAGGATATGTAACCCTTTGGTCCTTGTTAGTATAAAACTACTCCTCAGACTACGACCATTGCTATAGCACGAAAAACGAAAGAATAGTCCCATGTTAAGGGGAATATGGTACTGACTATAATATCCAACTAGTAGTCTCATTTCCAATTTTAAATTAGGTCTGATATGATCATCCATTTCTTTGTTCCTCCTTGCTATACTAGAACTGAGTTAGTTCAGTCTGACTAAAATGTCTATATTCTACTTATCTCTTGTAAACGAATATATATATATCAAAATATTATTCACGTAAATAAATAAATATATTTTCATGTTTTAATCAAGCGTACATCTATTAGATCTGGGTTAGGTACGTAGATCCGTACAATATTCAACGAACAATTAAAAGAATTCCAGCTCGCGCAAAAATTCTCGGCTCTGAATGGGATTATTAACTGCAGAAACAATTGCTGAAATCCTACCGGGGTGCAATTAAAGTGAATATCGAACGTTTCGTCGTGTACTCCATCGTTACTCGTTAGAAAACAGTTGCTGGAATGTTGGAAACGATGTACAATATAAAAAAAAAAAGAAGAAAAAACGGTTTATCGCCATTCCGCAAGAACTGTTCATTCGAGAAGTAGTGAAAGGTATTGAAAATGAATATTTATGTAACTCGTGTCTGTCCCAGTAAATTTATTCGAATAAAATGCGTGAAATTCCACCACCCACCGTATATTCTATAGTAACGAGTTGACAGTGAATGGAACGACTTCATTAAATTAATTTGGTTACGCAAGCGGCGTCACGTTTTATCCGATAAACCAGTTCATCGTTTCGTAAATATAATAACAAATTTAAATTTCCATCCCTACATTAAATTGATTTCCATAGTAACGCTGATTTTTTTTTATTCCAATATTGTGTTAATACTTTTCGTGGTTATATGGTTCCCGTTGAGAACCACTTCATTACAATAAAAAAAAATTATTTTTATTGTGTTCACTGGTCCATGCATTTTTAACCGTCACGATTGCTTGAAATTGTGCACGAATTAATTACGCGAGCAGAAATGATGTCGTTCTCAAGCTGACTTTGTATGGCGCCGTTCTACTTGCCTGGCTACAGCCAGGTCTATTCTACTTGGCTGGACACTCGCGCCCTTATTCTACTTGTCGTGCCATGTACAGTAGATTTCACTGGTTAATAGGGAGAAACATTCGCCACGATTGTTCCCGTCAGTGCAATAATTGAACAATAACTGTATTTTGATCGTTTCACTTTCTTCGAAAACTGGCTCCAATTTCCTATTATTTTTTGTATTAGCATATTTATAATTGTACTTACTAAAGTGCATCATAACCACGATCGTATAAGTTTATCGTAGGTAAAAGTATTAAAAGTATTCGTTTGTTTATTTGAAATATAATTGAAAAATCAAAGCCACTGTTTTTCCAACGTAAGTATTCATTCTCATAGCAATATTCGTGATAGTTTCGCTCCGTGGCTGAGAGTTAAAAAAGGAAATACCATTTAAAGACGATGGAAAAATACGAGCGGTAATAAAAAGAGGGGACTGTAAAAATGAAGTGACAGTCAAAAGGTCGTTACGAACGAACGCGATCCATTCTTCTCGCGCAACATGACCGGTCCGCAAATAAAAGTTCTTTCGTATTTTACTGCTTGCCACTGTCAGTGACTGTAGAAGCCTCGTTTGACACTCGGCGTTCTCGCAAAATGCGGCATTTTCGTGGGTAATTATGCGCTCGTCCCTTTATCGAACGCGAACCACTCTCTGTACTTGGCACCAAACGACATAAAAGAAGTCGGCGATAAGTTATTCTTCTCATTGGAAATGGAAACACGAGTGAACTTTTTATTTGTGTACTTATCATAATACATCCCTAGAAAATAGGGTATACTTCAAGAGGAGACACTGTATATTGAATGAATTGAGGAAATCCCCTTGGCTTAAGGCCCCAAACATTTGTGCAAATTGGGCCCTATGTCTCATACTACTGTAATCCAAAATTTGACATTACAATGCTCCCATAGAGGGCCTAAAATCTTGCACGATGGTAACCCTAGATTGTATTTTAAAAACCACACAATTATAATTCCAAATTGGGCCCCAAATGTTAGACTATCGTAGCTCCATACACACTGCTATATTCCAAACTCAAGTCTCCAAATCCCCATTATTATGGACACGCGTGCGATCAGAAATTGGGCCTTAATTCCCCACTGTCCTACGTGTAGCGTTTCCAGCGGTTCGAAGTTGCACTTTTACTAATTGCTGCAAACTGTGTTGCAGGTTTCCAGTAGCGAGTATTTCAGCATCAGCTTCGACCTGACCGACGACGCCGGATCCTTGGACAGGGACGAATTTCTGCCAGCTGCAAAAGGGACTTGCCTGGCGTGAGTGTACCTAATTTCCTCGTAATTTCCCCGAACTTCTCGCGTTTATTTCCGACGAAGCTCGGCTCCCTCCGCCGTTGTCCTTTCGGAATAGTTGTCACGGGGAACCAAACTGTCGCAGCCGACGCGTGTCACGGGTCGAAATGAAATTTCGAACGATTTACGCTCATTTAAATAGCAGCCGCGGGCGGCAAGTTGGCGGAATTCCGCCGCAAGGGAGATGAAAGGCGCGAATTTACCATCGGCCTTGAGACGCGAGCACGCTCGAGCAAACCCTTTGAGAACCAGTCCCACTGGCGTTGCCTAATAATTGCCGATAAATAACGAGCAATACACGCCGGGATCAAGCAGAGTTCCCAACGTAATCTTATCAAACTTACTCGCACTTTACGAGCCCCTGTAACGAGACTGTACGTGTATAGTCGCGTCAGATGCAGACTCGTGTATTTTCGCGCCAGGGATTCGTAGTTTCTGCCCGTGGCTTCTACAGGACACTCAGCGCTAAATCTGTTCCCTTTATACCTCTGTAATCTTGTGGTACAAAATTAGGGGCGCGTCTAAAGTCGTCGCTTTTTTTATTTTTATTAATAATTCATCTTAATTGTTTGTGAGCAGAGTCGCGTACGAAAGGCAACACTCTTCGATCGTTAATGCCAGAGACAGTGACATAGAATTATAGAATATTATCTGGTCGCAACAGTAAGCTTTCACTGGGTAGGAAACGCGTGCTTTATTCCCAGTAGTTTAGCTCAATAATTCACATGCGCAGATAATCAATCTGTCGCGGTGTGTTATAAATTTGCACGTGGGATTACCGATACTATACAGGGTGTTCGGCCACCTCTGGGAAAAATAAGACGAAAATCAAGGATACTAATTTGTTGATTGGGGTTTCGTTAAAAAGTTATAGAAACATTTCTTTATTATTTCCTTTATTAAATGTAACGTTCCATTATTGATTGTAAACACAAACAACAAAAACAGTAACGATAGTGTTAAGACTCTGTCGTAGTGCTTGGTTGGGACTTAAATCCTACCCTCTGGTAATCCTAAATTAAATCCTGAGTTTCTTACTGTGGCAATTCCATATTGGGCCCCGCATATGACGCTTCAAGGGTCCCAAATTGGTCCCAAATAAGTCCTAAACGTCAGAAAGTTTCAGTCCCATGTTGGTTTCAAATATTCACTGCTGTAGGTCCCCATCTCGTAATGGCGTGAAGTCTACTATTGAAGACTCGTGTTCCAAATTTGTATATAGATTGTTTGTTACAGGGAGGCACTGAACACAGCTTGTGAAAGACGCGGCATAGATCTGTCGCGCATCGAAGTGCACGATGGTTTGTCGACGCCATTACCGATTCTGACAACAGACACAGCGAGCCTTGGTGGAAAACATCTGAGAATAACAGGTACCCTCGTTAATAATTCAAATCACTTTATCCATCCGCAAGACCTATCGAGCCGTATTCTTAAATAACTACTAACAGCAATTTGGCCCGGAAATTGGGTCGTTTTGGTGAACATCAAACAACTACGAACAACTTCAAACAACCCCGAAAACGTGGGCACGCCGCGTGAGCCTTATATCAGGCTCGTTATCGTAAAAGTTCGCTCATTAACTCGCGAAACATTTGCATTCCCGCCTTCGGGAACTACGGGTTTCGGCGAGTATGGAACCATCGGAACTCGAAGGCAACATTTAACCGGGGAACAGTACGAACTGGCCATAATTCATGGAAAACTGATAATAGATACGATCGCGGCCGTTTGCAGTAAAACTAGCGTAATCGACTGCCGTTGTGCACGCAATAATCATCCGTAACCGAAATTGATAAATTAAACGATCCGAACGTGGCACCGTTTAATCGTGCCACCCAGTACCGACGCGTGTACACGGGCTCCTGTAATTATGTTAGCTTGTAAACGCTGGACTTCACGGTCCGGTCGGAGATGAACGGCCGCGAAAGGAAATTGAACTCGATACGACATCAACGGGGACGCGCGTCCGACGCCTTTTGATCGATCCTGTTGCCAGCCGTAAGTACACCGACCGCGTCTAACTGTGGACGAGTAATAAATGTACACACGGGGTCGTTGCGGCAATAAACGGATTGCTCGAGGGAGCGTGGCTTTGATCGAACCCGCTCTGTCGCGATGGCTGACTATAATCGGCTGGTACTACTTAAAGCACACCTTGCCAAACGCGACCTACGTACGTCTATGTAGATTGCAAACGAGTCATTGATAGAAATTTCAAGCCCATGCTGATCGAACTCGATACCAACCAAAGCAGAGGCATCAAAGCAGCCTCAAACCAGTTCAAACTTGACCCAAACCCTATCGGATCTGACTCGTATCAATTTTAATTGCAGAAAGCACGAACCATTCGTACGAAATTGAGCTAATCTCGATCAAACTTAATCAAACCAAATCAAATACACACCTAATAAACGTAAATCCATTTTGGACGAATGATTCTTACTAGGGAATACAAATTAAGCCAAACCTGATTTGATCTAGTCGCTAAATGTATAAACTACTTTGAATCTTGAACGTCGAACTCATGGTGTTGTTTAGGCTGACCGTACCAACGTCATACTACTTGAAATTCACCGTAAATTCATTAGAAGTCGTGTTTTTGGCTTCTGTTGGCGAAATTCGTGTCAAACGGCGAGCTTACTCCTTGTTTATCTTTCCGGCGATGTTGACGATTTCGGGGCTAATTTACGATAGCGAATATTGGTAATATCGAACTGTTTAAATAGGGGCGATTTGTACTGTTTGAAAACGTGTGACATTAACGCGGAGACAAATCAGACTTATCGGACATCGGACTAATATTTTAGAGATGCACGTGATGGCGAAAAACTGTAACCGGAGGAAACGGGGTCATGTAAATGCGACACTTACGATGTTACATAAAACACGTGACTTATCGAGGAAGGTAATGCTTCCTTAGCAAAAGCATAAAACACCGATACGAATCTTCAAGCGCGAACTCTCGCGTTATCACTACGTCCAACTTTATAACCTGCATAACTACTTAAAGGATCTACCACGTTTGGAATCTTTGAAATTATAAACAATCTCTCGTAAATTTTTCAGAAAATTTAATTACGATACGAGTCTTAGTCAATTTACATTTAGCTTGGAGCTTTATCAGTCTCGCGAAATTTGTTATATCGACGTTTTCGACGGATTCTCGAAGCTCTATAGATCTTTATCAGCAACTATAAAAAGCTCTATATTTCATCCAGCGAAAGGATTACGGTCGAATAAAAAAGAATTGTCGACTGCGAGCCGTAGCGGCACGCGAAGAGTCGCAATCCTTTGAAGCAGTGTTTCTCAACTTTTCTTGGCTGGTGTATCCCTTTCTCAATTTATTTACGACCTCCTACAGTTCGTCATTCTCGTTAATCGTTAAAAGTAATAGCACACTATTAATTCGTAACGTGTAAAATTGTGGGTAAATGTGCAAAAAAATGCATCGAGGGTCCACGTGGCTGTACGTTGATAATCCCTGATTTATAGGATCGCGAAAAGCTGCGACCCAGGCCATTCGTTAATTCGAACCGTGGCCTTGGAAAACAGGAACAAAAAGTAAAAACAAAGTGGTAGGATGTCACGGTGGCTCGCCTACGCGTACCCTTTTCGCTCCAACGTCACAGACACGATCTTATTAAATATCTAAAAGGTTAAACAGATGCCTGTCATCGAGTAACAAGGTCCAGTTAACCTGATTAATAAAAGGGCGCCTATACAAGAAAATTGGCCCTTCGAATAACGTAATTATCGATGGAAACTCGTCGCGAGTTTGCATACTTATGGATGACTGGATAATAATAGATGCTCTTAGTTTGTACTAGAAAAATTATAACATTTAAAAAAGTCAAGGTGACCTTGGTATCAGGGCGTTTAAAGTCGCGGAAACTTGAAATTCAAAAACAGCAACGTTGCTCGCCAGATAAGGTTAATTGAAAGCTAATTAAAAGTGTTTTTACGTTTTGGAAATACCGACCAACGACGGATCTTGCACAGTTTACGGACAAAGACCGCGAATTAAGGCCAACGGTGGATCAAAGAAGTATCAAAAGCATCCTCTGTTCCTCGCAATCAAGACCCGCCACAATTCCATCGTTTGTGCAATCCGTAATTGCGTCGGATGCTGGATATGATTGAAACTACCACGAAACAAAATTAACTCGCGGTCCACATACAGCCCAGAAGATGTCCGTGTAACTGGAAACCCATGATTTTCCGTATCGTTTCTCGAATCGACCGTTTTCAATGGAGTTTCGTCGCAGTAAGGTTGCTACGTTGCAGAAACCACGAATGAAATAACACGTTCCAATCGAATTCTGTGTGCCCAACTACTACATCGAACCCTGCTGCTCTCAATTTATCAGAATTCGAGGAAGGTTTCTGCAGTGCCTTGCGTACGTTCAAATAGGTCTCCTTATATTATTACCGAGTATCTCGTAGTCTGCACTTTTTATAAGAACATAAAGAGTAACTGCACAAAATTTTATCCGGATTAGACAAAAACTGTAGGATTTATTTGTGCAATCACAAACACACAGATTTTGAGTGCAATAGTAAGTTTGAGAAAAGTTTCGGTTTTATTCGAGTCAGATAGTGATAATTAATGGCGTGGAGATACTGTAGATCCTCCAGATAAATTTAGGTCGATAAACCTGGCGAAATTAGTCGCTTCTGTAATACTACAAGATCGTAGATAAAAATCTGTGATAAGTTCCACGCTAAGATTGACACTATTCATGGAATTCTAAATATAGAAACGTTTTGGGCACCGTTGACCTTGAGCTATGGCGTCGAAGGTACGATGCGTGAACGAAAACTCACGCAACAATTTAGCGACAATATTTCAGATGGTTATCGTCCTTAATGGCGTCCATTCGTGTCTCGTAAAAACGGTCTCTGTTTCATCTAGCCGTCAAAACAATGAGAATTCATCAAATACTGGGAAACTTAAGGGGTCATTCACATTCGATAGATCAAAAAAGTCCATTTCTCTATACGACAATTTTTTACAGCCCATGTAAGACACTCTGAAAATATTCTCTAAAAATTACTGAAATTGCATACAAAAATATTTGTCAAATTGGTAGCTACGTATTGTCCGTACAATAATTTATCTTTAACGAGCTGTTTTATACATTTTACGTTATTAAATTTGAGCGAGAAACGAAGATTGTAAATGAGAACACACCCTCAAGAGCGCGAAGTGAAATATGCCCGTTCGTGTTCAGACCTCCGCGCGAAACTGTCACGAACATCGATAACGCTGTCTGTTTCGACGAGAATAAGCCCCGTCGCCGTCGTAAAATGTGATTCCTGAAACTCCAGGCTTGTTTATCAATCACAAATATCAATCGCAACGTTTAACCGCTCAGTTCGCTGCCGTCTGTCAATTCTCGTTCGCTGAACTTTACGGGACATTTTGCGAGTGTAGCGAAATATGTCCAAAGTTTCTCCATTACATCGTGACGGGACGAAAATAAATACGAGAAGTAACAAAAATGGGGCGAGATGTGTCTACCGGTTCTTTCGTAATAATTCACGATTCGTTTCTTCCGTCTCGCCAGTGGAAGTGCTTCGAAATAGAGGAGACGTTTGAGTACGAAAAATTTCTTACACGGCGTGGTTTTTATGTGTTTCAGTCAAGGACAATGAGAAACCGAACTCCAGATCGACTAGTCAGAGGGTTGGTCAAATCATATCGTTGAGGAAAGCGGCGAGTGGGGTAAGTTGACAACGTTGCTTGGTCGCTCGTACTCTTCCCGACGCATCGGTTTGAAGTAAGAACACTCGCTTTGAGTGAAATTTCAACATTAATCCACTCCAAACGTGAATCCGACGTTACACTGTACTGAAAACCATCTCCTGGAACATATGTGGTAGGAAAGGACTAATTTTTCCAAATCCAGCGGCGTATTGTTTCCCAGCAACATCTGTCTCCAAATAAAATTCGCTCGAATCGTAAAACCAACTGCATATTCGGCTTCATAGCGTCTCTTAGGCCAAGCAAACAGAAGCTGCATCTCGTAATGCACATTTTCTTAAAAATTAAGCGACATCTTTCAGTCGTATCTTTCAGTCGTCCGGTGTAATTTACAGAGAAATCACGCGGGTCGCTAGCGAGCCATTGACTTTGAATTATATTAATTTAACGCATCAATAAATCCTGTCTCGTTTCTCAGAGAGATTCTACTCAAGAAAGGAAACAGAAAGCGTTTTTTAAAGCAGTCGATCTTCATTTTGGACGTATTCCGATCTTTCATGTTTCCATCCTTCAGAGTCACGTTCCTTTTTATTCCTTTTCAATTTCCACGGATTTTTCTCTGGCACTTTAATTAGCGCAGATGCTCACAGATACGGCACGAGCAACTTAAACGAATCGTTCACCGCGTCTTCGACTGCAGTCTCCATTGGAACAGATTGTCCGAGAGACTTGATATCAGCCACACATACCCATCCCCTTCCCCTCTCCGTGGCTCATTGTGCTCCGACAAGCTGACACACATCGTGACCGTCATCCTCCCCTAATCTTCGATCGAACTTCAATAATCGCGAACAATACGTCGCCGCCGGGCCTCGTCGAACCTTGACCCTTCCGCCATCGTCGAAGACAAATTGCGAAACGATCCGTCAGGTGCAAACAATGCCGCGGAGAAACGACGATCGATACTAATCCTCCTATTAGACTCGCATCCGGATTCTAATGAGTTGCCAGGGAACGCGACGGAAACGATAAACGCGATTCCGTCGCCAATTTTCCGACAAGTACCATTTCGCTGATCTGCTAATCTCCTCCTGTGCCAGATTCCTGGCTGAAGCACTCGTTCAAGACACCTTTTATCCCAGAAGTGGTGAAGTTCTGTGTTTGAGTGTACATTGGATTCAGCCGATGATTCTTTTCAATTTCAGACGACTAAAGCTGGGCTTTATGTAAGGACACTTTTCATTTTACAAGTGCCAGAGCTCGACGTCTGAGCGAAATCCTTTTAATTTCTGATAACTAAAGCCCGGGTCTACGTAGAAACACCTGGAAGCAGTCCAGTCTCAACAGACCTTGGACTTGGCTCGGATCCTCTTCTACTTTTCACGATTATTGCTCAGCGATTAATTAGGATTTCGTTTTAAAGCTAAAGGCAGGAGCATAATAATACAAAGAGGAACTTCGTTGCTTTAACGAAATCCGACTTCGCGGGTGTTCTTATCTCATTCGAACGTCCTTATTTCATTTTTGGTCTTATTATTCCGCGTTGGGTCCTTCTTGGTAAGAGCGCCTTATCAAAGGATCTTTGAAGCCACGTTAAAACTGCCTATTGCTCGCGGATCCAGGCAGTTTATTAAACTTTTAATCCGCAGAGTTATCGGGGTCGGAGCGGTCGCTTCTTCAGCGTCTCGACGGAAGACTCGAGCGTTGATTCGGAAGTAAGTGGCAGCACGACGCTCACTTCTGGTCGGAGTTCCGCTGGGGCTGCGGGACTCAAGACCAGCAAGCAGCGCTGGAGCGGCTTCTTCATGAACACGAAGGGCAACAAGCTGGACCTCCTCACTGCACAACTCGACGACTACAATAAACACGGTGTACCGAAGCTCACGGACGTACAACTGCCCTACGAACACGCTATCAACGAAGATGGTAGGCACTCGTTACGTATCTTCCCTCTAGATCAAGGATGGAGGATCCCTTTTTTGCCTGAAGGTTTAGTAATTAGGTTGAGCCAGCTACCACTACAAATATCGATCAATTTCCCAATTTGGAAATGAAATAAATACCACGCTGTGGTCTAACTTGACGCAATCAAGGGGAAGCCCTTGGAATCACCAGTGGCTTGCATGCAGAATCGCCCTCTATGATCAAATTGAGCTGGCCCCAATGAGAACAGTGGCGATAGCCATAATAATAGACACATAAAGAGTCCAAAGACTTTTTCCCCTCGATCTAGAGGAATCAAAGGAACCCATCGCTTAACAACTATAATAAAAACACCGGTAGCTTCTGTACAACAAATTTATATTAATATCCAATAAATTATTTTACTTTATAAAACTCTTAAATATACATATTTATAACATCGATAATCGCCGGTGCAAAGTTGCTTCTCTGCTATAAAAATAGTTTACGGTCTTTTGAGTAGAGTTCAAGAGCCGTTTGTGAACACATAGTTGCGGTTTTGGGCTGTCCGGGCCGTCATTGGTTCGTTGTCTTGGCTCGTTTCGAGCTGGAAATGAAAGCAGAAATTTTAATTAATAATCTAAATTATCTTCATCGCTTCGCGGATGGATCACGCTATTGTAAACTTCATTTCGTTGCAGCCTTGTACAACTTAGAAGACGACTGGCGCGACATTGTCTACAACTCGGACCAACTTTCGGAGAAGCAGCAGCAGCAACAGACTGCTCTGTGGGAGTTAGCTCAAACAGAAGTAGCGTACATTAAGACACTGAAGGTCGTCACAGACGTAAGAACTTCCCTCAAATATTTGCCTGCAAATGCCGGGCATTTGTTTCATCAACTTTAATTGGACCTTTCTTCTTTAAAAAAAAATATAGTAACGTTCAGAAACTAATACAAATGTTTCACTGCATTTTCACGTATTCTAGCTCTTCATGGCGTGCCTCTGCAGCCTGCAGGCCTCGAATATCCTGACCGAGGTCGACAGAACCAAGCTGTTCAGCAACATCCCTGAAATCTACGCCGCCAATCGCTACTTCTTGAGCGAGCATGTCCTGGCGATGGTGAATACATCGAGGTCCACTGGACAACCGCTCGATCCTGGCCACCTTCTGCAGGGTTTCGAGACGTTCGAGCAAACGTTCGCGCCCTACGCCAGATACTGTGCCGAGCAAAGCAGGTGTCAGCAGTACTGCAGGGACCGGCTGAACGATAATCAATTGTTCACGGTCTATCTGGTGGTAAGTGGGTCAAATAGTCACCAGGAAAGGAACGATCCCAATTCAGAGTTTAACCAGAACCCTTGTTCATCAGTGGTGCGAGACTCAAAAGGACTGCAATCGACTGAAACTGCTCGACATATTGGTGAAGCCTATGCAGAGACTGACTAAGTACTCCCTCCTCCTGAAAGCTGTTCACAAGAACACAGAGATCGAGGAACAACGGGCAGAGTTGACACACATGGTGAGAATCTCTTCGTTGCAAGTATCCCTAACGCAGATTGTCGCAAGAAGCGAGGCAATACAGTAGAAATTCGATCACTGACCAGCCCCATCCAATATTCTCCAACGTTTAAAGCCTTGGTACACCTCTAATTGTTGCAGATCAAATCTGTAGACGACTTCGTGGCGTCCGTGAACGCCGCTTTGAGGAGGAGCGAGGAGACAGCGCGGTTGGCCAGTGCAGCGTGTCGCATAGAGAGCTACGACGTGGTCGAGTCCCGGGACGAGGAATTAGAGAAACTAATTAAGAATCACAGCACGTTCGACATTACGACGGTGCCGATGCCAGGTTGCCCGAAAGACACGCTCAGAGTGCTTCTCCGCGACGGAGACTTGAAGCTGAGGGACGCAGCTAGCAGCAAGGTGATTCGCGAACCGGTAAAAAACAACTATGGAGTAAATGGGCTCGAGACTTGGATTTATTTCTCAGATGGAGGTGCACGTGCTGCTGCTGACGGACATGCTATTGATCTGCAAACCATCTACCAAAAAAACCTCATCCAGCGGGCTGACTGGAACCGTCGGGGGTGGTTTGAAGATTATTAGACAGCCGTACGTGATCGATCGCATCCGCATCCACGAGCTCAAGGAACCGACCAGCTTAGGATTGATCTATCTGAATGAGTACGGGGCGGCGTCGGCTGCTCTGGTTCTCAGCGCTGGGGAATCGAAATTGGCCAAGGTCTTAGTCTTAAATTTCGAGTCGATTCCGTGGCTAGTTCTCGATGAAACGTTAACGTGTCGTTTTGTAGTCGTGGATGGAATCCATAAGAAAGGCTCAACAACAGTTCGCGCTGATGAAGGTACCGCCGCTCGGTAATCCCTTGCACCTGGCAACGGTCAGTCGACAGCCTAGCACTTTCCTAGGGGATGTTGATTTCGAGGGCGAGGAATGCGAGACGATTCTGAAAACGCCGCGTGGAAGTAGCAGGGCGTCGCGTGTCAGCAGCCTCGCCCACAGTCACAGGTGTGTCGCGATCGCTTGTATCAGTTAGTCTAGTATCTAGAGAGGCCAGTAGTGAAAGAACGCTAGAACTATCTCTAATAAAAGTCGCGAAACAACTTCCAGCGGTAGTATCGAGATGGAGGGCATGTCGCCGGGAAGCAGCAGCTTCCTGCCCAGTTACAATCAAAGCAGAAACGTTAGCGTAGAGACCAGCGAACTGCCGCGCGCCTCGAGCGTCTCGTCCGAGGAAGGCGGTGAGAGTTCTGGACATAATCACAGACCCCTACAAATAAGGTAACCGCGCGCACGAACATCGAACATCGAACCGGAAACACGTTGTAAATATCAATCTGACCAAACGTTTGTACATTATTCTAGTTCTAACAAATTTGATAATAGACGATATCTGCTGAGTAAGTCGCCGACGCCCAACACACTGAGCGTCCAAGTGCCGGCATATTCTAGCTTGGGCCAATCGCTACCAAACTTGACTCTAGCTACTTCGCCACAAACGTCAACCGTATCCCCGACACCGCCAAACTCACTTCTAATCGTACCCCAAATAACAAAGAGCAAGGACACTTTGCTTTCACCAGGGCACCGAGGTAGCAATTACCCACGCGGGACTATATCTTCTTCCACTGTTACCCTCTAGAGGCTTGTTCTGACAATAAACCACCAGCAAAAACGGCACTGTGCATGCTTGACAGAGTTGCTAAATAGGTTGAGCGCCGCGGCCGCCAAACAGAAGCGTACCGCTGGTACCGAGAAACGTCGATCGCCAGCAAAAGCTTCCTCTTGTCGCTGCACTCAACCTGTTAATAAATGTAGCCCCACCAATCCCACTCCTCCAAAAAAAAAAAATATTCGATGAAAACTTTACCAAGACACCTAAGATCGATAGAGATACTTTCGATAACTTTTAGCTTAAGATACCATACCTTGATATAGTATATGATATTTAAAATGCTGTTGTGAACAAAGTTGCACGGCTTCATGTTAGTAAGATGCAATTGCAGTAACACGTTGGTGTTTGCTGACCTAAAATATACCATTAGGTATCTCCTATCCGCCGCCGTCACCCCCGAGAGGGGCCCTAAGAAGAGCGTTCGCGATCCCGCAATCGCGAAATCCACCTCTCGTTAAAACGAGACACATAAGCACGTCTGTGACGCAGACGATGCAGCCCACGATGAACCTGGACGCAGACGCCATCGAGGAAAGAAGAAGGAGGCTGGAACCTTCGCACAGGATGCCATCGACGAGCAGCATCGCCGAAGAAAAGGTTAACGATTTCATCTGAGATTTCAATCTTCTCTTTCCGACGTTAATCTGGTAACAGGCGAGAGCCACGCCCAAACATTGAGACGCTCCAGCGACAAACCGCGATAGGACGATTCAGATGCGGAGTGTTTTGTGAGACATTCTAATAGTAACCTTCCAAGCAGACCTCTGGATAAAGTTTCCTTTGCCGCTGGTTCTCCGTAAAACCAGTAAAGACGAGAAATCTTTCTAATCTCTCATGGAACACCCTGCATTGCTTTCTCCTACGAGTCAATTAACTTGGTGTTGTGTTACGTCGAACCAAGTCGCCGGTTTTCTATCGTTCGGTACATTTTTTTAGAAATGACAAGAGCTGGCACACAAGAGTAACCTACCGAAAAGGTAAATTGCTACGGACCATCCGCATTTGATAAGGGTGTACGTGACACACGTTGGGTTTAGAAACAAGATATTGCTTTCTGTTGTCTATATGCAAGTGCTGCACACACTTTCATGCAGGATCAGAAACGGTTACAAACGATACGAAAGGATTCAACTTGAGTATGTGAACGTCTCGTACTCCCTGTGCCTACAATATGAATCGAGCAATTTTACAATCGGTGAGCCAAGAACGTCCTATTCTCCCTGTCAATAGCGATGAATCCTAAGATTGGAAGGAAACTCTTTACAGACCCTTAAATAATCTCATACGTTTGTCAATAAGTGACAATACAGAGCTATTGAAGACTCTTTCGAGCAAACCTATACCAAAGAACAAGAAGACAAAGATTAATAGTTCGATAACCCTTTGGCGTCAGAAATTGTGTCGACTAAAACGAATGAATTCTGTAAGGGCTTTCTTGCCAATCTTGTAGATCGTACGCCATTTTACGCACGACTCTGTTTCAGATTGGGGCCATTCGAAATCAACGTGAAGTTTGTACCATGACCGTATCATTGTAACTTCTTTACTTAGCCGTGTAACTTCTAGATCTCATTTTGTAATTAATTACGTGGCTGTTGGGACAGCCGCGTTCAATATTACCCTAGTTCATTTAGAATTGTAAGCGATGAACAAAAGAAAAAACAGGCCTACATAGTGTAATTACAATTACGACTATTTATCGTGATTTAAGTTTAGATAACTATAATAGTTGGAGTTAAGATGCCTCTAGTGAAAATTTTAAACTAAAAAGCGAGTTCGTGATTTAATGATAACGCCAGAGCGTGATCGTTTAGGCGGATGGACGCACGTTAGGGAGTCACAATTTTTCGTAGAAGAAACAGTTTCGCTAACCCCTCGTACAACAAGCTTCGATAAAATGAAAATTCCAAGCGTGGGTGGATACGAGAAGCGTTTCAAGCGGGAGAGAAACGTTTACTTTAAGTACAAATTCGATTTCGCAATATTTTGTTCGAGAGACTGAACTGAAGAATCGGGCCGTCGATGAACGTCACCCAACTAGAGACAACAATACGTAGAAAGAAAACAAGAGCAATGATTTTATACGAGCTCCTCATGTAAGATTTCTTTCGACCCTAAAATTTGCGCAGCTTGCATTAAGCTTAAACGTGTTAACTATCATAAAAGATATCGATTGTACGTGTATGTACGATCATTCGCGATCAAGGTCAAAATATAGTACATAATTTATTAACGATTTGTATTTCTCCCCTTAATCGTACTCCTCGTTTTGACTAAAGGTAAGTACTATCTTCTAAACAATAGTACACATTCTTATAGTAAAAGTTAACAATTCTTCTATACAACATTTTATTAATAATTTTATAACACGAATAATTTTTTTTTTTCTATTATACAGGATCTCTGGCATCGACAAGATAATATTATACGTAGAAAAATTTCAAACAAAGAACTCGTTCAATGCTTATTCTAACTAGTTTAACCTCTAAACACTGGTTCGCTATTTCGTATCGTAATATCAAATTCACAGTTTAAATATATGCTTAATATCAAATGACAAACTATACAAATTTTCGATAGTCCACGAATACATTTACCTATTTAAATCTACTAGACCATTCAACAATGAAGACTTTGGGACAGCGTTACCATACCCATCATAGAAGACGGACGTTACAAGTTCTTTTAACATATTTACATACGCGGCCGGTGCTTCAAATTTTTCAGACATTCGTCTACCATGTACCCTTGCCCCGTGAGGTAGAAAATATTAAAAGTTGTTAGGATACTGTACTGCACACTTACTTGACAGCTGGAGGGCGATGGGGAATCCCATGTAAAGGGACAACGGTGCGAGGCAAGAATCCGTCAGCAATCGTTCGCCATGTCCTGGCACGTTCGAGCCTCGCTGCGTTCGTCGGCTAGGGCCTCGATGATGTCCAACAAAAGCTCTCGACTCAGTTGCTTCAATCTCGGAAGCCTCGCGACCTGTACGCAGATGAGGTTATGTTCGCGACAGAAGAAACGTCTTTGATTCGGTGATAAAGCGCCCCTAACGCCTGAGCCTGTTGCGACATAAAATGTTAGTGTAATATGTACCTCTGTGAAATGGTGCACGATGAGATCCAACGCATACTTCTTTATATCGGCAGCTTGCATTCTATCCGCGGCTTCCAAAATTTGTATAACGTTCTCAAAGGTTACGTTCATTTCGAGATTCTGTTTGCAAAAGGCTTGCAACCGATTGTTCGTGAAACCGTAAAAAACCGGGGCGGTAAATAAATACAAGGAGTCTTCGGGTGGCATGGAAACGTCTGCGTGGTAAATGTACCTCAACAAGGAGTCGAATGATTCCGAGGACGGTATCATTTCGCCTATTTGTATCTGTCGGAAATAACAAGCGTTGCATTACAGTGTGCTCGATCACCAGGAACGGATAAAACCTTAATAAATAAATTGCTTACGTTCACTGTATTGTTTTCTGGCATAAAAGAACGGAACATTCCCTCGAAGTAGCTACATCGAGCCGCAAGTATCGCTTTATGGGCCGGAATCGGCACTCCGTCCAACATCAACGTTATATCGCAGAATTCTCTGCCGACGCTTTCCAAAAACGCCTCCATATCTTGCTCGAGCGTCGTTCCTGAAGTTACCGAACGAAAAATCAACAAGATATTAATTGTTTATTTGACACAACGTTCAGGAAACGCACCTGTACCGAAGTCGTACTGCTTCGAAAAGTTTCTCGCCTGTGGCATCTGACGCCTCCTAATAATTTTTACCATCAGAGGCTGGTCCAGAGTCTCGAACTCTTGGCTCATTACAATTTGATTGTAGTTGCTCTCTTTCACGACGAAACTCAAACAGAACTCCTTTATGAAGTCCAGCTTCAACTGAGCGGCGTTGTGCAACGCCTCGAGAACATTCGCGTGGCTTATGGTTGCCTTCAGGTAATGGACGCACAGTTGCTCCAACCGTTTCATATTGAATTGCACCGCCAAACGATACACGTCCATCATAAGAAGTACGATTCGATTGCTCAGAGGATCTTCGACGCGACTGCTCGATCCATCTTCGCTCCTCTTTGTTGGATCGATGCGATCGGTGTAGATATAGTTTAAAACCATTTCGAAAGCTTCAGGCACCGCGTCCGTCAGCCTCACCTTTAAAGGTGCAACTTGATAATTCCGTACCAAAAAGCTCTCGTTAATTTATTTACCTCTAACAACGGTTGATCTTTTATCGGTACGTCGACAGTCCCAAACGTGTCTTCCAAGTGTTTCTCTCGCTTCTCTCGTGCCTGTATAATTCGAGCTCTGAGAAATTGCGATCTAGCCGCTACCATAGCTATGTGAGCGGGTATTTTCGTTTCCATGTCCCCTACTACGAACTCTACGTCGCAGAAAAGACGACCCCTCAACAATCTCCCAAAATCATCGTGCAACGTACACTTTGGGTAAGATGAGAATTGAAACCGATACGTTTCACCTATTCGTACGTTATTATCGACCGTTCCACCGAAAATGAACATCGCCTCACCAATAACCGCCGCCGCGTGGAACAAACGACCGGATGGAACCTGACTATTCGCGGACGGCAATATAATATTCCATGTTTGCGTATCAAGATCATAACAATGGAGATCATTGGGTAACGTGGAGTCGGCCGTGCCGCCGAAGACATAAAGATGCCTGTCGAAGCTGACCATTGTGTGACCGTATCGACGTGCAGGCGGTGGCGGAGCACCGTGAAGTATGTGCTCCGTTGAAATACGCGTCCATCTAACGAGATTTACTTTGTACAACTGCGATGTAACGTTAACGGTTGAAGCACTAACCTTTTTTCTCGAAAATGAAATTGGAAAAGGCTATTGGTGATCTTCGCTCCGCTCTGACCGCTGAATACGAACATGGATTCGCGGGCCACCGCGACAGGGAAATTGCAACACGTCGGCGGGCAATCCCCGGACTGAACAACTTCCTCCCAGACTCTTGGCTCCCCAGGCTGGAAGCGATTAAAAAAAAATTTATAATCTGTACTTCGTTTCAACGACGATATATCGACTTACCAACAATGATATTGTCCACATATCGTTTAATCTTACATTTCCATCATAACCTGCGAATATCCATAACTTATTGTCATATACAGCAGCTCCATGCGCTGACCTGGCTACAGGTGTTCTGCAAAGAGATATAAAATATATATTGTGTACTTGGCAACCGAAAGAACAAATGGTTAAAGGCAAATTAAAGAAATCAAGTAAATCAAACATACTTCCCAATAAATTTCCACTCTGTCCATTGGCAAGTTTGGAACCGGTACTCGATCAAGTCATTCTTATTGGTGAGGTTCGAATTGGAATGTATATCACCGGTATAACCACCAAATACAAACATAGAAGAATCATGCACAACTGCAGAATGATGATAACGTGGAGCAGGAGGAGCTCCAGCTACCAATGCACGTCCCCAGGATTTCTCTTTCACATCAAATCTCAACAAATCATTCAACATTCTTCTACCATTATCACCGCCAAAAACATATATTGCATCTTCATATGCTACAACAGTGTGTTTGCTACGCCTGTGTATAATACAATGTATGGTAAAATTTGAAGTAATACACTTACAAAACACTTTCTAATATCACATTAAATGCAAGAGGAAACAAAGGATAAAAAGAGGATAACTTTAATTACTCATGAATGTAACTACGGTTTATAACTTAATATACAAGAATAATATTGGTGACAATGAAAAATTCTACAGGTTACTTATTATCATTTATTTACAAATTTCAATTCACAATCACAAATCAACTGTCTTCAAAACACAAAGTTACAAAATAAATAAAGAAACTGGAATATGCTGGTCACAACCAAAACACTGATGCACGTTTATTGGAATTAAAATGCTGTAACAAAATTATCGTTTGCACAAATGACATTATGAAGAATCAGGGAAAAATTGAATCTAAGAAAATAGAAACTTATATTCTACATTGCAGAATTAATTGATCCTTATTACCTTGCACCGACGAATTCATCGCATTCTGGCATACGTTGCCAACGATGAACGGTTTCAAAAGGGCCAAAATCAAGGGTCAAACATTCTGCAGTCGCAACGTTGTCCATTTTCAATTATTTTAATGGAAACTAGTTACATTACGGAGCTCATGATTAACCTACAAGCTCGTGACTCGATCACTCCTCGGCATTTACGAATTTGCAATACTCGTTATGCGAAAGAGAGTCTTCAAAGGTCTTAAATTGTTAATTTGATACCGAAATATCAAAAAATTGATTTTCACGGTAATCAAAAACCAGGTAAACCAGTCACCGACCACAGAACTGATCAAAAACATGTGTGGTCCCATCGATCGGGTGGAGTACGGTGGACTATAAAAGTAACTTCATGGAATTAAATAAAACTGTTTATTTAATGGTTTGCACACAATTACCATAGTCAATTTGCACTGACATTGTTTCTTCAATTATAATTGATACTGTACACGTACACGCATACACCGGACATAATTTACTTCTGCCATTTCAGAAGAATATATCACACCAACGCAATTCTTTCTTAAGAATTTTCAAGTATTCGTGCAAATGAAACACTAAATAACATTATTTAAACTTTTAAACCAACGATATAACGAACAGATTGTTATTTATTAAGTAGATACCGTTCATTAGGCCCACAATGGTTTAATTCTTAAATTGATCATTTAATTACAAAGGTTTCTCTTGATAAACCTTTAAGCCTCTTTCAAGCCCACAGACACGTGTTATTTTCAACTATGTACAATGTTCATAACCTAATTATACAATGCTTATAGTACTAATACCGCAGTATGTGAAAAAATATATCTGCTCATAAATCTTTTACTAGACCTATGACACGAACAAATTAAGCATTCTGGCTTTGCAGTTTTCTGGCTTTAAAATTAATCTTGGGTAATGGTATCAAAGTTGTATTCATACATAGAGTTAAGAATTAAATCCTGAGATCGTGTGTTCTAAGAAAACACATATTCGTTGAAAGTTCGGTTTAAATAAAGCGCTAAAAACTTGGTACGCTCCCCGCCATTTTTGAGTCGCTCTTGCCTTGCGAAGGTTTAAGCGAGATGGAGGAGAATCTAGTTAAAGGGACTGAAAACGAAAACCGGTACACTCTGGGGAGAAAAACATAGCCTCACTTATTTAAAGACAGGTATACATATGGAACTACTGTATTTCATTTACATAAAAAGAAGTATGTAACATCTCAATCCAGCTAAGAGGTCCTTTCTAAAATTCCTTCCCTAAAAATGGTGGATTTTTCCATATTCTTTTCGTTGTCAGATATATCAGAAATGTCCAGGTGTTTCAGGTGTTCAAGAGCGAGACGGCAAATGTGAGCCTTCCTCTCTCGATTCCCACGAGATGGTCCGAAATTATTTCGGGCAGCTTCGGAGAATCGAGAAAGAGGGCATGTATCAGTTTTCCTTTGTCGACTGTCCGCTCCGTCTTTTGGGCGCTCGATACACTATCCTTCGCGTGCTAGACATTATTTGTTCTGTCCAGAAAGTGCTTTTGTAAATTTGCAATCGTTACTTGAACGAACCAGGCCTCCTTTTCCGCGTACTTAGTCAAAACATTAAAGGCTGCCCTCAATTCTTTTCTTCGTGCGTCTTCCTGCAGATCTTCTAGCCCCTCCTCCATTGCGTTCACGCGTTGTTCTACATAAAATTCTTCTTTAATGTCGATGTTTTCGCCCACTTTCGGTTCGTGGACCTCTTGTCCTTCTTCTTCTTCGTTAACTTCCTCTGTCTCCTCTTCGGAGAAGTTGTTCTCTGCTTCCTCGCAGTTGGATAAGAATTCTCTAATCCTTTCATTGGAGAGTTCTTCGCTAAGTATAGCACCGATCACGTCTTCCAATTGTGGTTCCAATGGATCGGTAGTCTCTTCTGTGACTGGCTTGACCCATGGGACACACCGAACAATTCCTCTCCAGGCGTTAAATATGCTTATGGCGCTCGTGTCTGTCCACGCCTCGTAGAGGAATTTAATGCAATCCTCGATACTGTATTTTTGATAGAACTCCTGTATCCCGCCGGGATAAGAAAGAACTTGTTGCAGTAGTTTATGACGAAAAGACATTTTAGTCTTTGCAACAACTCCTTGATTTATAGGCTGCAGAATCGAAGTGGTGTTAGGAGGTAAGAACAGGATTTTGAAATAGTCATCATCCAGTTGTTCGGACGGATCTATCTTGTACCACCAACAACTGTCCAGCAAGAGAACAACTGTTCTACTTGTACCGCTCTCAGACTGTCGTTTTCTTACGACAGGCTTGAAGTGATTCTCGTACCAGTCTTTAAATATCGACTGGTTTATATAAATGCTTTTCTGCGTTTTAAATAACACTGCCAGCGGATTCTCCGCATTGTGCAGCGCACTTAGATCATCGAATTTATGTATTAACAATGGTCTCAGCTTGTGTGTACCTGTCGCGTTTGCGCATAAGCCTATAGTTACGCGGTCTTTCTTCAATTGTTCACCTTCGATGTTTATTTCATTGTTATAGCCCAACATTTCGGTGGGTATTGCCTTCCACATCAAACCAGTTTCGGCCATGTTGTATAGGTCGTCGCATTGTATATCCCCCCCTACTATTTTGCGAGCAAACGATGCCGCAAATTCATCAACAACCGTTCCTTTTTCGTCCTGAGTCTCGTCTACGTGGATGTAGTAGCGATTCTTGAATTTCGCCAGCCACTCGTTAGAGGCTTCAAATTCGTTTCCTTCTACAAATTGACCCGCCACGTGTCGTGCCTGTTCTTGCAGTAACGGGTCAGTGATCGGTTTTCCCAATGCTTTTCGTTCTACGAGCCACGCGTGAAGATATATTTCTAATTCTTCGATCGATTCTCGCAGCTTCTTCTTTTGAATTTGGTCGCTCTCCCCGCCGGGACCGTGAACAGTCAATCCGTTTCGCCGAATACGACGAACGGTGGTGGGGTGAAGGCAATATTCACAAGCTACTTTAACTACAGATACACCACTGTTCAATTTATGCAAGATATCTAGTTTCTGCTGTATGGAAATCGCAGGTTTTTTAAGTATAAAGCTATTGTTCATTTTTTTTTCTCTGTCGTTCTTCGAAGAAAGCGACGTTATTGCAGACGCGATATTAATTAAGGCTGAGCTTTGAACGTAGAGACACGCTCCCGAGCGATCATGTTTCGCTTCTTTGCAAGTGAAGGCTAGAACGAGTCGAAGCAACTGTTAGCCAAGTTACTAGAAACGGAGACGAAACATTCATACTTCGTCTCGCTCTAACTTTCGGACTTTAGATGTTTCATCCTTTGCATGCGCGACCAGCGTGCGCGATAAACAACATAGTCGCTTAGCGTAGAGAGGTTACGTTGCCTTTTGTCTATTTTATTTATGATAACAGAGATACTTTTGTTTATTTCTACTGGATAAAGTACCAATGCCTTGTAAATATCATTTCACGCTTGTCTTCGGTTCCAATGGCGCATTTTCCATCTCGTTCTCGCCTTAAGCATGTGAAACGCGAAGAACGTCACATGTAAACCGCGGCTTCTCTATGCCAAGCGCTCGTATTCCATTGCACACACATTCATTGACGAGGCTGTACGAAAGACAGAGCGAGACAAAGAATCAATGAAAGAAACGAGATACACCGGTTGGAAATTGTACGTATCACGTGTCTTCTTCGCATTAGGCCACGTTCAAATGTATGCAACGCGACGTGAAACAGTGCTTAAGGCTCAACAAATAAGGAATACACCGAAATCGTAGTTCCTACAAACCAAAGCAGGGCAAAATCCACAGTATTTAATGTGTTTGATTAATAATATCACTCCACTAAAGAGATGAAGAGGCTATCATTTTCTCTCTGGCCTGCTTATGGCATGCTGCTGAAAAGCCCACAACAATGTACGCAAAGTATAAAATATGTATTAGACATGTATTTTGTCGTCGTTCGTGTTTCCAAAAAAGCAATATGCCATAACTTGTACGAAGTATCCTGTATATTAGATAAATTAAAAAGGCGCAGTGGGAAGTCGATTTTCTTACCAACCTTTATCTTATCAGTAGTACCAAATTAACACACAAAAGAAATGTTGGTGTTTTGGAAAGAGATTTTATTATAAACTGTTGCAATTTTCTGAGTATGCAAATATTTCTTTGACTGAACCCTACGAACCTTGTATTTATATATATACGTATCTCTATAATGATGTAAGGTGTATGTCACACGGTGAAGTGTTTACGCGTGCTATAACGTGCTAACACGCGGAATAGAAGGCGAGAAAGCGGTCCACTTTCAGTGTTTTCCTAAGCAGGACGATTTATGAGTAGCAATGGTACGAAATGTATTTCGAAGCAGTCCAAAGATCCTTTGGATCGGCAGTGCCTGTATCGGTACTTACATCGCGTATCGATATTGGAAAAAGCGAGAGCTTCTGACAATAGACGAGGGTTTTGAAGAAGTATCCAAGGTTAGAATTTCAATCTTGTTCAAAACAATTTTAAGCGATTTCTCTCGCACAGCGGTTAGAAATTTCTCCGTACATTTTTATTCTGTTAGTGATCAATTATAAATTGTCAACAACTTTGATTCATTGGTGTTCAGATTCGTATGAAATTTCTCTTAATTATTCTTCAAAAATAAGAAAAGATTTTAATAACATGTAGTAGAACACAAATTTTCTATGGGTCACTGTCACTGTACCTTTATAGGTTGATGACAGCCATGAAAAAAGAGTGCTTCTATTGGGTTTAGAAGGAGCTGGAAAAACTTCAATTATAAATCAGATATGTGTTGCAAATGGAGATGAAAATTCTTACACTGTTCCCCCAAAGTCAACACAGGGTTCCTCTGTATATAGAATAAAACATGGGTCATATTCATATAATGTCTGGGATAGTATGTATATTCTTTGGTTACTGGTTCATCAAAAACTAACGTGGATATAAAGATGAATACAATTTTGTTGCTAGTTGGGGGTGCAGATGCCAGTAGAAAATATTGGAGTGCTTTTCTACAAGACACAGACCTTTTGTTGTTTGTAGTAGATGCATCAGATACAGACAAATTATCTTTGGCTGCTTCTGTTCTTAAAGAGTTGGTAGGAGATGCAAGAATGGATAATGTACCAATTTTAGTAATTGCCAATAAACAGGTAAATGTCATTGAGTAGAGGGGTCACACAATCATCAATGTGATATTTAACTTTTTTGTATATGAAATTAGGATTGCCCTAATGCTCTGAGGCCAGAAGAAGTTAAGAAAGCTTTAGATTTATTAAGTATCTCTCCTCATAAGCACAAAGTAGAACTAATTGGATGTCAAACAAGACCTCTGCCAGAGGAGCCAGCAGAAACAACTGAATGTACCTGGCACCATGCATCTGTTGATGCAGTTAGGAAAAAAATATTCTCTATGGCAACTTAAAGATAATTTCTTTATTGTTTATTTAATTTGTTGAAAAATGCTTTATATGTAAAAAAACGAAAGAAATAGATGGGTAAGAGAATGGAGTATGAGAAACAGTATGTCTAATGTGGCACACTGTTCTCAATTTTTCGATAAATTGAAATGATTATAAACAATTTGTCCAATATGAACTTTTTAAGAAAATAATTCAAGCATTAAAAAAAAAAAACTATAAATAAACTTGTACAATTTTTTAAGTATTGCTCAGTATAGTATATTTGCAATCCTCTTTGTTGTACTTTTATACTGGTTTCTTTAACATATATATTTATTTAATAAATTATTTATTTCACTTACAAGGCTATAGTAAATACTGTCATATTTTTTATTTTAATTATGCATAATATAAAATACATTATACTACACTGGTTTTTGTAATTGATATACAAAATGGTAAATGTTCAGAAGTTATACATATGAAAGTATATATTTTGATGATTATCAATGTATAGTAATGTAAAAATGTCTTGTTTTACTTTTAAAAAAATAGTGTTTGAACCTTTTTTCCCTATTGTTCTTGTATTTACTTAAATAACAACACTTGTATATTAATTCTATATTTTAATGTTTTATACACAATCAAATACTTGAAATATATCTTAATTAAATATGGGAAATTAATTATTATTGCATACTTTTGTTCTGAAGATACTCATTATATTGCTCAGGAATACCCTTGAATATTTTAATCTTAGCACGTATTTGTTTCCATGTTAATTGGTTATAATTCTTCTTGTCTCGTGCCATAGCCTACATAATTGATGTAGCAGTAAGAGATGTTGTCAATTATAAAATAAATTACTTTAAAGTGAAAACACTACCTTATAATCTTCCTCATACTTGTCCATTAAATAGGTTAGAAATTGTACTTGACTATTTGGTAACTTGAACATCCTCCTTCTTGGAGCTTTTGCCTCTGCTTCTAGTTCTTTAGCTATATGACTTTTCACACATGTTATGTCCATGTTTTCCTCTTCATCATCTGACATATCTTCAGGATCTGCTACTTTTTGTTTTGCCTCTTTAATGAGCTCTTGTTTAATATTTGGAATTTTCAATGCCTCGTTTGGATCATATACCAAACCCATTTGTTTTAAATTTGTACGAGTGGACATAGATATCTCCCATGATTGTTCTATTTGAGGACTGCAGATAAATCAGTTTCATTTTCAGATTTCCATTCATGGAAAGTGCTAACAAAAATCAAAGCATAATTGCTTTTTGTTTATAATATTTACCATTGTACTGTTGGTAATTTTCTTAATTTATTTCGTAATCGCTTACGATTTACGCTCATGCGAAACTTCTTCTTCCGTTTCACTTTTCTGATTTTCGTCATTTTGATAGTTCTAAATTACCACGTGTTTTTCGAATACAGTTGTCTTATTCTTACATTCAAACTGACAGAGTAAGTATTAACATGAATGTACTATGCAATGGACAGGTTTATAGATTGAATACCAACTTAATAGTTTTTCCCTATATCGAAACAAATCCCTAGATTGATATAATCTTAGGCAGCAAATGCAATGTTATGGCAAATAAGGTATACATAACGTTACATTTATTTGAACACTTTTCTAATTTTATTCTTTTACATTAATATACTTTAATCTGATTTTATGAACACTGTACTCACATGTATAATACATTTTTCATTCAAACCGAACTGACACTCAATAAATCACTTAAAATGTATAAGGTGAAACTAGGTATTGAATTTATTCAGGATTTCGTGTGTATCAATTTCAAACGTTCATCGTCCATTGTATGCAAATCATCATTCTAACATTAAAGTAGAAATCTCTTACAATTAGTACATGTCCGAAAGTCTTTTCATGGAACATATCGAAGTTCAAGCACGTCCAGTGTTACCAGACGGCAGAAAATGGCGGTCGAACGTGATGCTCGGCGCTATTCAAAAATAAGTTTAGTTCCTTCAATGTAAATTAGTTCGTCATGAATCACACTTTACGTAGAAGAAAGGGAAAGACAAAATTATCATGTAGTTAGGTACAAAATAAAAATTTATTTTCCAATATTTCGAGTACATGTGCCAATGTCTCCACGGGGAATGCTTTGTTTGGGAAAATGTTCCGGAGGGAAATATGAACAGCGAACATAAATACAGTCACATATAGTTATTTATACAGTTTCCATGTATGTATATCTATGCATGTATGCGCAATTGATATACGTACAATGAAATTTGACTGTTCTGATCGAGGGGTGAATGGTATCGGTAAAATCACTGAGAATTTCATCTACACAGACAGATCCAGTTTGTTTCATTAGTCTTTCGTTTCGATGGATCCGTATTTGCAGCAGATGCTGAGCTTTTTAACAAAGTCATCGTCGAAGTTCGCTACGAAATACGAACTACGCCAGAAAGAGCATACTCGACCCAATTCAAAAAGTGCACCCATTCAGGTAACACTTAAGCAGTGTCCGAGTCGAATTGGCCGAACTCTTTGCACCCGACTTTACGAGTACAGAGTTCCAGAAACTTAGAGGACTAACGAGTGTATCGAGTGTGTTTACCAAGCATAGTTGGCTCCAATGCCGTTGAAGACGGTGTGGCTGATGGTGCCTGAGGGTACGAGGGTCTTCGAGATGACTTGGGGAGCGTAGTCGTAGAGGGATGCGGATTTGGCGATGATCGAAGGGGCGTAGGTCTTAGTCAGGAGTGGAGCCGAAGCAATGGACGCGGAATATGGGTCACCGTGGGCGATCAAACCGCTCTTAGCAATCAGTGGCAACTGGGCAGGGTATGCAAGGGATGCAGAAGGTGCGAGGTAGGACTTGGCCAGGAGAGGAGCAGATGGTTGGAGGTAGGACTTAGTTAGGAATGAAGTAGCTGGAGCAGCGTAGGCCTTGGTCAGAAGGGATGCTGGAGCAGCGTAGCTGAGCGGGGCAGCGTAGCTCTTGGTCAGAAGAGGCGCTGAAGCGGCATAGCTGTAAGGCGCAGCGTAGCTCTTGGCTAGAAGAGGCGATGGGGCGGCATAGCTGTAAGGCGCAGCGTAGCTCTTGGCTAGAAGAGGTGCTGGGGCGGCATAGCTGAGCGGGGCGGCGTAGGTCTTCGTCAGTAAAGGTGCCGATGCAGCGTAGCTGTAAGGGGCAGCGTAGCTCTTGGCGATGAGGGGTTCATGGGCGATGTTGTAGTTCAACAGGCCATCGTTGCTGATGCTGTGACTGCTCACGCGGACGGAGGAATGTGCGCTGTCCTCGCCTCTCGAGTAAGCCGAGATCACGTTCTGGCCCGCGTAGCCCTTCTGCGTGGACTCCTGGCTGTAACCAATGCTGCCCAGGTCTCCGGATGCGGTGGCGATTTCGTACGCCGCTGGACCGCTAGCGCGGACTAACCCCAAACAAGCTACGAATGCTACGAACTAGAAAAATATATATGTAATTTAATTTATTCGCCATAATAAGGAGGATGTATATAATTACATGAATAGAGAAACCAAGTGGGAAAGACAAAGTTCCTATTCATGATGGGTATATATTCATCCCGACAGCGTATGCGTTCTGGTAGATGCTTACCTTTAGTGCCATTTTGCTATTGCTTGAAAGAGTTGTTCGGCTCTGGCAAAATCGGAGACCGGGCCACTATTTATATGCAGCTAAGATTGCAGGGGGATCAATCGAATTTTAGGTGCCACTGCTCCCGATGCTATTGGATACGCCGAACGGGGGTGGGGGAAACTGTACCACGGCACTTTTTTTCGGCGGAATTATTAAGAAAGGAAGATAGAAAGTGTGAAGGTGGAGAAGGATAGCTGGGGAAAAGAGGACACGGACGAATTCGAGGCGTGGTCCCGACGCAAATAAGATCACCAGTTCCGTAAGTATACGTAAGAAATAGTCACTCCAATTTCGGTAAGACTTCAATATGTAACATGTTAATCATTTACGTATAGAACCATGTGCGTTTACAATAACGGTATGGCTATTACAATACATTAGGGCACAAATGATCTGGCCTTCATACTTTCTTTCCAGTATGTAGTTACCGCGGGATAATGCCGTTCGTGAACATTTTATGAATCATTGCGGCTCCCATTATACGGCTGTCGTGCGGTCATGCAAGCATCAAATTAACTTCAAAATTATTCGTGCCTGAATAACGAATCATTAATGTAAGTACACGATGAAAATAAATATATTTTATACGTTTATTCAATGACCATTATTTGTAACTATTGTATCAAATAAATATATTTCCGCCTTGAGTACAATTGCATACCACCCAGCTCATCATCAAATTGACGAATTGTCCATTTGTAACAGAGAATGTTGCTACGTCACATGTAGCGATCTTTTTTTCCTTATACCATGGCCTTCCCTTCATTTATGCAACGTGTGATACACATATACCAATACTGGGTCGTACTATTGTAAAACTCGTCAAGGACGCACTTTCTCCGAATTGTGGCACTGACATATAAAGCCATATGTGTTTTATACCGGTTCTACGTAATATCTGAAGGTGTATTGGTGATCTGATTGCATTATTAGACATAAAGTAACCGGTCGGTAGCGGGCACAGAAACTAATATGCATGACCCTGACGACCCTGAAACGACACGCAATGGCGTAACATCTAGTACCGACTTGAATCGCGTGTACGTGACATCTAGTCTATTACAAAAAAAAAGAGAAACTAAAAGATTTTTTACTGTTTTGCCATTTTGATTCATTTGTCCATCTTAATGTTCTTCAATATCTAAAACCAGATACGAGGAAATGAATCATCGTCTAACACAGGTCTGCTTCCTAACGAACAAATGGAGTTCCTAATTGCAACGCACTTTTCGCAGTCGTCCGTTTGCTCTTGCCTCGGTTTCTTGGTCAACATCGACAGACGCGGTATTTTGTCCACTCCCGTTCGGGTTGCTTCCAGAAAACTCATTTATTTGCTTTGTTATCCGGCGAGTGAGGCGCTTCTTTAGCTTTTTTTCGTAACCTGCTTCGCGCAACGAGAAATTAGAGAAGACATTATTGATCGCGAAGACCTCCGAATCGCAATGATGCTCGAGACTTAAATCCTGAACTGTCTGCAATTCGAAATGACGCTGTTCAACTTCTAATTCGGATATCCTAATGGCTCTGCCTTCCTTGCTTTGATCCGGTTTGTCAGATGTTGATGGCTCTTCTTCCCGTGTCTCGGCAAAAATCAACAATAACGAATCCGTTTCCGTGTCCCAAGTCGCTGGACCGTAACCTTGAATGGACTTATACCTATCGTAAAGTCGTTTGAGTATCGTAATAACGCGAGGAGGCAATGCATTGATTTCGATGAGGCGTTTCGTCATCTGGAGGTACTCTTCTGTTGGGGACAGGCCTACCGTATTATCCGAGGCTGCAATTTATTAGCGTTGCATCATTTAGATATGAAACAAGATGATAAATATATAAATGACACTAAAGAAATGTTAATTTTGTAAGCAGAATTTTATTTGGTGTACAAGTTATTCTGACAAATCAAGGACAGTTAGATGTCTCCTTTATTTTTGGCGGCGGAAAAGAATGTTTCAGGTATAATTTAATTTCGAGATCAATTTAAGGTCACAGATGATTCATGTTACTGATATCAGATGCAAGAATAAATGGTTGGAAAAATTTATTGTTGCTCTAAATTCACTTTTCATTTTAGTTTACCTGTACAATGTTCAGGTTGAAAAATAATGGACTGTTCTTCGCTCAATAATTCATAAGATCGCGTTGGCGATGCATTTTCGCTTCCCCACGTCTGTGGTATCGGAGGTCTGTCTGTTTGAAAGTTATTACGCATTGTTATTCCACAAATCTGTGTCTTCTCTTAACCAAGTCGTTTTATATTTTTAGCAGGTTCCTTCATGCATTCTTTGCGCAATGTCAAGGGCATACTTCTATCGAAGCAATCATGTACATTGTTTGTTTTCTTTATAACCCTTCTTTTTTCCTCTCAGTGATAATTTTCTTAAGGTTTCAACAGCGACAATTGAAAGAAAATTGTTACAAAGTTGTTACAACGATAATGCTTATTGTAAATAATTTTTCTAATCGAGAGATTTTCTGTTACCCATCTTTAAACACCATGAAATAAACTGCAGATCGTGTGCTGTTAATAGTAACTTTATAGTCATTTTATAACAAATTATATTAACGTAATGGATGGGTAGGTATAAAGTAAAAAAAAAAAGTCAAAATAGAAAACCGACGAGGATGGGATTCGAACCCACGCGTGCAGAGCACATTGGATTAGCAGTCCAACGCCTTAACCACTCGGCCACCTCGTCACATGAGGAAGTACTTTTTAAATGTTTATTATGCCCGAAAACTTTTTAAATTTTAACATTAAAACACCTTTCACTTTCCGTTTCTTCATAAACATTTTTACTTACTATTACGTACTTAAATTGATCTTGAAGTATACTCGTGCATTTGTTCCATATGCTGAACGCATTTTAATGCTTTCTATACGTGTGCGCATTATGTAATCGAGTAACATACGTTTGTAAACAACTCTATCACAAACTGATAATTTATATTTCTCCGATATCTGATACTTTTCGATTTAATGTTTAATAAAATACAATGTGTCACACCGAGCATGATTATTCTTTATTTCCGATTTTTAATTTCAGGAAATCTGACCATACAATTCATTAAAAAATGTATATTTCAAAGATATAACAAGCTACTTGTACTTCTAAAAATACTTCATACCGTTGATGTGATTGAATGAAATTACATTCTTCACCATACTATTTAGAGGCCAAGAAAACGACAATAACAGTTATCGTCATTTCTATTAGGTAATAATACTACGTCATGCCGACAGTTCTCGAGAACTCATTTGATATACTATGTTGATATGAAACCATAGCCGCATTAGTAAATCCACACGACTCAGTCTTGTTAACATGGAAGATACCAAAGACACAAAAGTATCGTATACACCGGTATACGATGACGCGATTAAAAAAATGTTGGAAAATGATTTTTCAAGAATTAAAGGTAAGTAATAATTGACTTATGTTGTAATTCCATTGTACTTTTATAATATATAAAGGCGACTGAAATATATGTCGCAAAAGGTAAAGTGATGAAAGTATCCCCTGTTTAATGAATGAAAGAAAAAGACAAAACTATAGTTATTTTTCAATTTTTTCAGAGGAATGTTACCTAGATCATGCAGGGGCAACTTTGTATTCAGATTCACAAATAAAAAGTGTGACTACTGATTTGTATAGCACACTCTATGCTAATCCTCACTCTATTGGAACTGCAAGCAATGTAACTCATGATATCATAGAACATATGAGATATGTGTAAGAAGTCTAATAAAAAAAATGTGTGTAGGTATTGTTAACATATATGTGTATTAACATGTTCTCATTCTTTCAGAATTTTAGATCATTTTCACACATCTTCTGATGAATATACTGTTATATTCACATCAAGTGCAACTGCATCTTTGAAGCTAATAGCTGATACTTTTCTGTTTAACAAAGAGGGAACAAACAGTACTTTACAATCAGGACATTTTGTTTATACACAAGATAATCATACATCAGTTCTTGGTATGAGAGAAGTTGTAGCACAACATGGAGCAAAAATAACTTGCTTGACTCATGATAATGCTTTTAAAGTGTTTTATTCTCCTTTTCATTCCTTGACTTCTTCACAACAAAACAGCAATTCCCTTTTTGTATATCCTGCACAGTGTAATTTTTCGGGATTAAAATATCCCCTAAAATGGATTGAAGATGTGCATAAGGGAATTCTCTCTGATATCACTTCTAATGTATCCACTAAATGGTATGTCTTATTGGATGCTTCTGCTTTTGTATCAACAAATGACTTGGACTTGTCTGTTTACAAACCAGATTTTGTGTGTCTATCATTTTATAAAATGTTTGGATATCCCACTGGAATTGGTGCACTATTAGTAAAAAATTCTAGTGTAGATGTATTACACAAAGTTTATTATGGTGGTGGTACTGTAGATGTTTCTTTGAGCTCTGAAATGTTTCATGTAAAACGCAAAAGTCTGCATCAAAGGTACATAAATTCATAATCTGATTAAAAAAAAATTAAGAAATTAGATTTTTTTATTAGTTTTTATCTTCTTACAGGTTTGAAGATGGTACTGTACCATTTCTTTCTATAATATCATTAAAATATGGTTTTGACATATTGTCATCCATAACAATGAAACAAATTTCAAAACATATTTTTTCACTTGCCAAGTTTTTACACAATTCTTTGCTAATGCTTCATCACAGTAATGAAAATCCTGTTGTAGAACTATATTCTGATACAGCTTATGACAATCCTGATTTACAAGGAGGTATTGTTTCTTTCAATCTCATGCGTTCTAATGGTGAATATGTAGGGTACATGGAAGTCTTGAATATGGCAGCTCTATTTAAAATACATCTTAGAACTGGTTGTTTCTGTAATCCTGGTGCATGTCAAAGGCATTTAGCTTTATCAAATAAAGAAGTTCTTCAAAACTATGATGCAGGATATGTTTGTGGAGGGGATGCAGATTTAATAAATGATAGACCAACAGGAGCTATAAGAGTTTCATTTGGATACATGTCTACAGTTAATGATGTTCAGACTTTACTGCTCATGATCAATAAATGTTTTGTAGATGGACCACAAATAAATAAACTTCCAGACTGGTGGTCAGATTATAAAATAATCTTAGACAGAAAATATTATCAACAAAATATAATCATGCAAAATGCATCCAAAATAACAAATAACAATAATAATGGGATAATAAATAAATTACAAAGAATGAAAGAATTAATTAGTTGTTCAATCAGTGACAACCATTTCGTAAATTTAATAACAAACATTAATGACACTAGGAAGAAATGCATTCTAGCAAAATTATATATATATCCAATAAAATCATGTAGTGCTTATGAAATAACAAATTCCTGGAGCTTAAGTTCTAGGGGTTTGCAATATGACAGAGAATGGATGATTATTACATCTTCTGGTACTTGTTTAACACAAAAACAACATATTAATCTTTGTTTGCTGAGACCAGTTATATTTAAGGAAAGAGGAATTATGCAATTAAATTATCCAGGTACAAAACCTATTTATCACACATGTTATCATATGATATTTTGATAATTGTAAAATATTTTAGGGATGCCTACAATCAGTGTTCCTTTAGATAATAACAATGTAAATACTGTGGAGGGAACATTATGTCGAAGTCGAATTTGTGGTCACAAAGTAGAAGGTACTGATTGTGGTGCAGATGTCTCTGAATGGTTAAGTTTATCATTGGGTCTACCAAATTTAAGACTTATACAACAAAACAATAATGATATTAAAAAGAAAGGTATAATGATTAAACCAAAGACAAAACTTCTCTGTCATTACCTAATTGAATTTTTCTTTTATAGAAAGCAATAAACCAGAGCTATCGTTTTCTAGTCAAGCTCAGTATCTGTTAATAAATAAAGCAAGTGTGTTGTGGCTTAGTGATAAAGTATCTGACACAGAAGTCCAAAAAGACACAATTATACATAGATTTAGAGGAAATATTATACTAAGTGGCTGTGAAGCTTTTGAAGAATCACAATGGAAACATGTTAAAATTGGAAACAACAACTTTATGGTATGCATTTAAATGAATTAAAGAAATAATTATGTAGTTCTCTTTTTACTGAAAAATTGTCCTCTTTAGGTAACTGGACCATGCACCAGATGTCAAATGATATGCATTGATCAAACCACTGGTTTAAAAACAATAGAACCATTACGTACACTTGCTGAACAATTCCATGGAAAACTGAGATTTGGTATTTATTTAACCAAAGAAACCAGAGAAGATGGAATCATTACTATAGGGGATACTGTTTATATTTCATAATTTGAGGTTAAAATTACTATCATTACAAAACATCACCCACAAGGTGAACTTTGTTGTCAAACAACTCATGTCAACCATTAAAAATGGTGAACTGAAAAATTAATGTCTATCCGGATACTTATAAGATTAAGTAATTCATTCGGTATATTGAAAATATTACAGATTCAAACTATTAAATTGTAATATTAATATTACAAATTGCAAATTTAAGTATTTTTCAGCACCTACATTAAAACGTAATGGTTTTTTATTAATGCGAAAGTGACAACTCAAAGTTACTAACATTTTCGTTAACATCATCCTAATTTGTGTTTTATATCTAAAACAGAACCAATGTCTTGCAAAAAAGAAATATTTTATAATAATAATAACGTTCGATGAATATTACGAAAGTAAATATAAATTTGGAGCAAAAATAATATGAAATATGTTTACAAATTGTATAATTGTTTGATAATACAAGGAAATAATATGATTTCTATGTGAAAAATATAATTATTTAAACTTAGTTTTGTTTCTACTTACAAATAAATTTGCTAGAGTTTTCTTTGCTAGATTGGTAGTATTGTGTAATGGCGTCGTTCCGCTTCCGTGATGATCGCGGCGTTCTTCTCTTCACACCTCACGCCCCTCACTCGTCACAGTGAACGTGGTTCAGTTCATTGTAGGTTGTGAATTTCGTGGGGAGTGTTGCTTTTTACGTGTCACTTTGTTGCATTTTCGGTCGTATAACGAAAAGACGAATAGAGTCATATATTAAGTATTTCGTTTTGATATCCACGAATCTTTTGAAAATCGTACACATAGGCAACAGGTGTCTAATGCAGCACATGTTTCTCGTCTCGTCGTTAAACAATTGAAACACTCATGCGACTTGCGTAGTAGACAAACCGTTAACAGTTTCTAACAAAGTGACGTGTGTTCGAATCATGCTGGGAAGTAACACCGGAATTTTGAGACCGAGTATTTCTTTCGATAAAGTTCTCTGCTAATAGCGCGATAGGAATTGTGTTCTATTTTAATTATCAATCTACGAAAATGCAATACGATTATCTTATTAAGTTTTTGGCCCTTGGAAACTCCGGGGTCGGCAAGACGAGTTTTTTGTACCAGTATACCGATGGCACATTCGATTCCCGTTTCATGTCCACAGTTGGTATCGATTTTAAGGAAAAACGTGTGGTAAGTAATTAATTTATTTATTATTTCTAAGTTCTGGACCAGTATTCGTCTTTAATTGTAGAATAATCCTATTCGCATTGAAAAATACAAAGTTTCTAACGAATGTATAAATATTCAGTAATGTGCATATCTGTACGTCATATACAGGATATCGCATTTAAATCTATACACACAACTACCTTCCGAATTTATCATTATTCGAAACAATGTTTTAAATAAAGCTTAGTCTGTATGGAGGGGGTATTTTAGGACAGGCACAAGTCTTATCTAGGTGGAAGGGTTGCAGATATTTCAAAGTGATTCTTGTTTCTTAAGTGCAATTATATATTTTCATTTTACTAGGCTTGCAAGCCACTCAAATACCAATTCACTAACCTGCGATATGTTGGTTGTCAAGGTTATGGGTATTTATATTTTAAAGCACACTAATATGTCAGCGTCAGTGATTGTTAAGTGTTTGGTGTGGCATTCAAGATAGCTATTTAGTAGATCCTTATTTTTTTAATGATATTTATTGTAAGCCAATAAATACAATGTATCTACATATCGATTTACATTTCTAGTGAAACGAAAATACATTCTATTTAAAACAACAAAAGTCATCTTGAAATTTTTTAATGATTTCTTTAATCATTCTTGAAATAAAGTAAATTCTATTTGTACCATTTTTCAAATAATGAATTATTGGGGTGATAATTACATAAATAGTTTTAAAACGGGAAAAACCTGTATATATGCAAATGACTTTAAACATATGTTGCTACTTACAAACTATAGTCATTAATTATTGCAGATATACCAGACAGCAAATGGTAGGACTCAACGGGTGCACTTGCAGCTGTGGGACACAGCTGGTCAAGAGCGGTAACAATCTTTATAATTAGCCTCTGGAAATCATATATTATAGAAGTAAATGCCCTTTAATAACAATTTTTCTGTTGATTATAAGTTTTTAATATATTTATAAAAAAACTGACAAGGTGGTATTGCATAGTGGTAATGGGACTAATAGTAGTGGGTGAAGTAATATATGCAGATTATTGCGCATACTTAAAAGCTTTTTATCACTAGTACTCCCCTTAACAAAAATGAGAATAGAACTAATCATGACTTTTTCACATAAGCACTCTAATGCCATTGATATTCAGGTTCAGAAGTCTAACAACAGCCTTTTACCGGGATTCTATGGGATTCCTTCTTATTTTTGATCTGACCAATGAGATATCATTCCTTGAAGTCAGAAATTGGTTGGAACAACTTAGGGTACTCATTATTTAACATTATTATTATAAATGTTTTGGAAGATCATGGAGTAATCTGATCGAACGATAATTTGAGTTAACACATTCATTAGAATTGTATTCCCATTTGAATATTAACGATACTCACATACTATGATTTTCATGTTTATGCATGTAGCATGATGTAGATTAGAATTGTAGCATAGAAAATTTGGGTCTAGGTCTGCAAGAGCTTTAAACAGGTTTGTGATAATCATGTATATTTTATTTTGCTTGTATTTCATAAACTATTTACTGATTTAAAAAATGTCTACAACTGTGAATTTCCATGACGAAATGATGTTCATTTTATTGATATTAAATATGTGTGGTAATGCATTTTTGTGATTTCTTGAAAACTGTATAGATTACAGTGATATATATGTATTTTCAAATGTATTATTTATTATTGATTATTTTATTGTAGAATTGTTTTGATATCTTTCTGTTTAAACAAATATATAAAAGTATATGAAAATGCCGAATGCGTAACGAGGAAAAACATTTTTTTTTTCTTCATATTTACTGTGTTACTGATTGTTCACATTATTTTTGCTTACGAACTTAGTAAATATTATAGTACATGTTTATTTTTCGAAGAGAACCTAAATTAAGGGTCGAAACAAGTCAAATATATACCAATACTTGCGAACTTAAACTGTCGTTCGATCCAATAAGTGTAAAAAGATTATCGCAAGTTTGATTGTGATTTGTATCTGTGTACGTGTAGACTCATGCATATTGCGAAGATCCGGACATAATTCTCTGTGGAAACAAGTCCGATCTCGAAGACAAACGGGTTGTTAGCGAAGACAAGGCCCGGGAATTAGCAGAGAAGCACGGGTAAATAATAGGGTACACAATATTCCTAAGGTTTGTCCTTTTGGGAAAGTGTTTCGATTTCAGCTACAGTTTGAACAGAATCAATTAATCGTTCAAAACTACAAACTATGGGTACTAGATCGGTATACTATCGCTTTAACAGACTGGCGATCAAATAAGAGCGAGATTAAATAATCTCATCCAGAGGTCCAAAATTATTGTAAAATGAAAAGTGTGCAGTTCAGGGAATGTTTTTAAAAGAGATAATGCTTCCTCAATAAGGACACTCTGGTTTCGGGTAGTATAAGCTGCAAAAACGAGATGATGGGGAGGCTCGAAGATCCTAATGAATTGTATTCTTCAGGCTGGTGTACCTGGAAACGAGCGCAGCCACGGGCCAAAACGTGATGCGTGCCGTGGAAATACTTCTAGATCGGGTGATGAGTAGAATGGACACCACCGTGGACAAGTCGTTGCTGCCACATCAGCGAGTTTTGCGATGTCACGAGCGCGACACTCCACCTCCGAGCACTTCTTGCTATTGCTGACATTGTCCTTACACGTAGCTGAATAAATTGCCTCGTCCAGAGTTCGAACGAAATTGGATAACTCGCATTTTATTCAGCTAACAACAAGGCAATAGCGAATGTTGTATTTGAATCTCTTATCGTTTGAACCAGTTCGAATGTTACTTCGACACATGCGCGTGGAACGTTGATTATCCTGAACAGTTCAGGGACACCTTGGTGAACCATTATATTTGTTCAATTTTTAGTTACAGTTTTATCTTCTTAGACACACCTAGTAAGGTGTTAAGACGCCTGTAGAAGTACTTTTGTACGTCCATCAAGAAATATGGCGCGAAAGAAACGGTTCTGGACGCATGTACGAGTCAATTATCTTGTAAAACGAGCACTTAGCAGAAAAGGGAACTATTGGACAAGAACAGAAAATTACGGCGTTTCGTATTGGATCTACTAGTGGACTCCTCGGTAAGATTATTCAAGTACATTCTTTTTTACATGCGTCTACAATTTGGTAACAGTCTTCTGTATATGGAGTCTTTAGATCAAACTTAGCAGCTAGATAAATCTCAATAGTAACCACATTTATGTGCCAGAAAGTGAATTTGAATAAGGTTGTAATGGTTGTGATTGATTTTTACGGGTAGTCAATGTTCTACCGTATTTCTAGAAAAGTGGGTATCGGTATCGTTCGCTAACGATGCAGAGACCTGTCACGTTAATTACACATCCGTGCATCAGTGTACACCGAAACCAATTCGCGATGTTTCACGCATCCACGCACATACGGTCGTCTTCCATTACCATTTCCCTTGGTACAAGACTATTCTCGATGCATACGTGTTGCCTTTCATTCTCCGCGATAATGCGATTTACCTGTTAATGTTGTACGCACAAGGTGTTCAGTATATATGTACACACATGTATATCATTCTCTCTTCACTCGCCAAAGATTGTGATACAATGGCTATGACTTAGGGAAACACTGAGGCATTAGAGTTCAGTGATTTTCGACTATATCTAATGTATTTTTGATGCTGTTATTGTGTCTAACCAAAAATTCGTACACCTAGTCAAAAGTATCGTGTACTGAAAATACAATCAAAGCGTTATTTGTCGCGCGCGACATCTTTTACCCGTTCGTGCGACACCTGTTTCTATTGTCGTCGTACCGAATACCGATGATCGTTCATACCTTCTTGCCAAGTTTTAACGCGATAGACGTTACATAGATACGTCTACCGCGAGTACGATCGGTATAGTTATACGAATACGTGTTATTTCTCCTGACTTTTATACATATTCCGCGTGTCTAAGTTAAGGAGAGCCAAAAGACGTTTGTATGAGATGTGCAAATGACGAAAGGCATTGGTCTACCCTATTGAATTTGAAAAATAATAGCCTTTTGGATTATAAATTGCGTGACTGTTAGAGAAATAGTTTTAGGGGTAACAGTCGCTCGTATCTGACAAAAATGAAATCTTCCATTAAGTCTCGTGGACTTGCACCATCCGAGCCCCTCGTATCGCGAAGACAATGTGTTATTTCTTCCAATTTTTACACAGTTTCTGCGAGTAAACGGTTTATCGAGATATGTTCCGAGTATATATAAAAATTTATAATTGTTGAACGTGCATATACTGAGTGAGGTAGTAATCAGCTAGTGGTTTGGTATTAAAGAAGATGGCGTAGGATGAAAATAGTTGCATTTAAGACGGAGGCGCAAATGTAAGGATTTCGAGGCGTAAAGCAGTACAATCACAAATCAGGGTAGTTGATTTTTTAACTAACTTATCATTCGTATTCAGAGAATTTCCTAATATAAGTCTTCTGATTACTTGGAGTGAGTGGAATTTTGAAGAGAATTTTTATTATTACATCTATATGTTTTAATTTATATAAAACCTTATGAAAATAGATCTTAGTAGATTAAGCTACGATAGGCACGTGAAAACGTGACCTAACGTGGCAGTGTTGGTGTCCATGTGTGATCGTGTCTTTCAGAAATCATCATTGCAAAATATGGTCACGTACTTATTCATCTATTTTGTAACTCATACGCGTGACATTTTACCTCGACAATTGTACTTGAACATTTCTGCGAGCAAGTAAATGTTTCATGTTTTGCTGAACTGAGCTCTTGTTACATGCATTCTTTCTTTGTTAAGCCTCAACTGATAGGGTGCAATACTTGTTACATGCATAGATAATTTAATATTAAATTTTACAGTATTCGTTTGCAGTTCGTCCAAAGTTTATCGAACTGAAGATAAAGTACACGTTTCAAGTTGACAATTACATATAGTTGTAAGCCATTTTTGCGTCTCCCTGTCGGTCAAGGTTTAAGAAAGCTCAGATTTTTCAGCATTGCTATGAACTCCGCCCCACCGTTTCGTCAGAAACATAAGAAATAATGGCTCCCCATCTGGGATCAGAGCTGTAGACGGCAGGTGTTCTTTTCGCAGTTTCAATTATTACTTCTCGGTGGGGTCGAAGTCAAATGCAAACTGACTGAACGACCGAGTGGGACGGGGGTCAGGAAAATATCTTGAGCCGTGGGGTGATAAAAGTTGGTTTCATCGGCAACGCAAGGCGGCGAGAGGTGCAACGGGTTGCACTTAAGTTCGGCGAGAAATTTCCTTTATGGAAGTTCGATCGTAGTTTCTGACCAACCCCCGTCGGTTATTAGCCAGGCTATTTATACACACTGGTGTTATTGTTTACGAATACGTCTGCTTTTAAGCCCGCCAGCTTCGCGTTCCCGCAGCGAAACTTATTTTTACGGCGAAAGTTCGCCTGGATTCTTGAGAATCGCCGCTTTTACGGATCGTGTATGTGCCACGATCATTGTACGACGGAATTACCTTCCGATTATTACCGAAGAGCTTTTATAAAGTGCTACACGTACGGTGAACGTTTCTATGTATCTACGTAAGATGAATTTGTCGACAAATAAAGAAGAAAATTGTAAAAACGAGACGGAGGTACACGCATGCCCGATTTCAAAGTCTGCCATTTTATTTTAAGTCTCTGCCGACCTGCGACGCCTAGTAAGACAGAGGATCGAGATTTTCTTCTCTTTTCTCTTAATTATTTGCTTGAACACACTTCCGATTAAATGTTCCTATCGTTCACTTTTGCTACCCAGTGGCTACATTGTAGACGATCAAGGTGGAAATTAAAGCGCCTACGCAACGAGCATCCTGGACCGTACAGTCGATATTTAGGCCTCGCTTTGGCTTCCGTGAAAGCTCGCCGACAATCGAGCGATTAGGCTTTCCCAGCTTTGTCTCGGCGGCAACGTGCCGTTGATACCAGTAACGACCACTTTGAGACTACCAGTTAGGTCCTGCCTCTGTACGGAGTAATTATTACGTGGTCCCCTCAAGTTCATTTGATAGCGGCTAGACAAAGCGATTGAAACGTTCAAAGCGTACGATCCTGGACCTATCAAAAGGATGCTATTTATCGAACCGTGGCCGGGTTCACCGGCCAGACAGAGGCGCCTCTTTCCACCGGCCCCATAGCACGCGCCTGTTTCCTCCTCTCATCCTCCCGACGCGTTCGAAATTTCGCTCCAAGGTGGGGCCAAGTTTCCATGAAGTCGCTGCGTCGAGAACTTCTGACCGGAAGTTCCTTAGAGCTATCGTGGCTAAACGGTCTTTGGGGCTTCGGTCTACTTCGCTCGGGCGGCGAGAACGGAATTTACTGCGTTCCGTAAAATTATTTATCACGATTGTCACGAAAATGTAATCTCTAGAAGAGCTCGGGGGGCAGGAGGGGGCAGGAATTTGTTATCAATGGAGAAGCGTTCGTAGATTTTTTAGCGTTTTATATTTCGTTAGCATCGCGCTCCCCTGATACTTTATTCCTTTGATCTTGATAGGCGCGCAGGATCAGACTTCCGGTTATGTGGGCCAAAGACGGAATCCTGCTCGCGCGGCAGATCTGGATGTCCGTACGTAGAATCTCGCGTCCCTCCGTTCGACTTGTCAGACATGGAAAGGGGAACAATTTCAGTCAGATATTGGCCCGGTAGATAAAACGAAATTACGTGGCGACCTCGCCGGATAGCGAAATCGCTCGGTTTTCTGGGTCAGTGGTGCTACCCGCTGATTTATCACTTCCGGTTGATACTTCGCCGCCAACGGGGACCGTGTACGGGGAGGACAGAAACGAAGGGGCACGGTCTTCGAACCCAATCTTTGTAAAAATCGTCGCGGGAGATTCTTGCGACATTGCACATTTAAAATGTGACTTTGAAACCGCTATATAGTAAAGATAAAACTTGATTAATTAACTTTCCGTCATCGTTGCAATTCCTTACAAAGACGGGTTCGTAGGACGTGCTATGATCTCTTGTTATATTCTGCTATTCTGTTACGTGAGCTGCGTGCAGTGAAGTAACTCAGTGGAAAGTAACAACTTCGTATGCCGGCCTTGCTTCTCCAATGCTTCCCATTTTTATCTAAGAAGAGCTCTACTGCCATGTTGGGCTCCTGGTAATGGAAGAGTCGATGTAACAAGGAAAATTACGAAGCAACGTTAGCAGAGGTATTTCTGTGGTTGTGTTGTATTTTTTGTTCATGACCTCCGTGGTTATTCTGTGCTCCTGGTACCATCAGAGCTAAAATAACACAGTAACATAACCAAACGTACTTAACTGTGTGTCTCTATTCTTCGATTTGTGTTCTTTGTTTAAAGCCTCCAGTATCATTCTGTGTTCCTATTAACGTCCGAATGTAAGGAATGAGTTAGCATACCCAAAGAATGTAGATGTATATGTTTTTGCATTTGTACTTCCGTTCAAGTTTCCAGATTTTATTTTTGCATCCTTATAGCGATCCTATATGTTTACATCTTTCTAGAATCCTTATTAACTACAAAAAACAATAAAATCCTACATGACTTTGATAATCTGCAGAAAAAAAAAACAGACAAAATCTTGTACATGCAAACAAAAAACAAAGCATAAAAAATGTAGCATTTTAAAAATAAAATTGTTGAAAATAAAAATTAGAATCAAAATAGACACGCAGCTACTAGTTTCTCCGCTTTATCTATTTATCTTTATTAATCGATTTACAAAAAGCTTTTATTATTTTAAATGCTCGTAGTTTATTCAAGGTAATCGGGGATGTGACGTCCTCCCCTATCTTCTATTTCCTTTTCTAATCTGTTAAGCTCTGCCCTGTTCCTATTGTACAACGTGCATTTAAACATTACGTGGTCTATTGTTTTCTCCTGGAACCCGCAGTCGCAGGTTCCATTCGGGATCATATCCTTTCTTCTAATGACTCTTCCAGATTGCAATGGTTTACTCTCAATCTAAATAGATATCAGTCTTACTATCTATTTATTCCCTTCATTCGATCTTCCTGCGAACATGGCCGGCAGTAAATGTAATAGGCAAACATGATTGAAGTTAGCTACTGTTTTTTTTTATCTTCGCTTATGCCCTTTTCGCTCATCAACCGGCATAATCTCTATTAAAGCAATTAAAGCTAATGTTAGCGCAGAATATGACCAAGATTTTTATTAATTAATTTTGTAATTTCACATAGCAATCGAATAACATGAAATTCAAATATTGTAGACAATTGTCGGTATTTTAATAACGTTATTGTTTACAATCGTGAGCAGGGATTCTGGTACATTGTAATTTGATTTCAGTTTTTCTGTACATTGTGTTGATTTATTTGTAAGAGATATATATATATGGACAGTGAAATTAAATTTTAACAATCGTATTGGCAAATAAACATTTGTTAGGAAATATTGTTAGGGAGTTAATATATTACTATAGACTATTATTAATAATGTACGTAACCAGCTGCAGAATTGTGTTCCGAAGCATTTAATTTTTACGTAAGGTGATCGTTATTTACTCTGTCTTTAAAGAACTTGGAAGACATCATGAATTTTGCGGTATCGAAATTTTGGTTCTCAGGGAAAAGACTCTAAATTCTCCGTTCGAAGTGGGTCAGATAAACCCATTGACAAATTGCCTGTACGGCGTATCAGACTGCCCCGGAAATTGCTGCGTGCACGGGAAGCTTGAAAAATTAGAAATTGCTCATCGGAAGTTACTCTTCACGAACCACTCGCTGCTTTTTACAGCCAATATTACATCGAGAAATGATATCAATTTTAGATATTAAGCGTTCCCATACTTCACTGTTCTGCAGCTGATGGATCGTTAAAACATTTAGCAATAGACTTCAAATGCATATGTTACTCGCCTAAAGAAACTTTCAAATCATGTTTCTCATAACATAAAATACATTCTTTTAAAGTGGAACAATGTGTTAAAAAGGTATTGATTCTCTGTGTGGTGATTCAGCTTTTCTGAATTAAATTATAATTTTTTGCAAAATATTTCGAGATCGGTTGACGTTCAGTTATTATAATATTAATACGGCTATATTTATTTCAATAAATCTGCGTTTGTATCTTCAATGTTTTCGTCACAGGTCACTGATTAAAATCGGTGCGTCAGTGTCACGGTTGGGAGCGCCATACCAAACGTTCAATTCGAACGGAATTTTATCGAATATTGGTAACACCTTTTAATTTATTAGATCAAAGAGGGTGACACATATATTTTTTTATTGACATTTTTTATTGAATTGTCTGGACAGCATCAAAATAAAAAGGGGACATATGAAATTAAATTTTTCATTTACTTCGGCCTACTCGATCAAATAAAAATGTCGTCGATAGGTGTTCATGAAAAATTGAAATTACTTTTATGTTTACATTCAGTACATTCGGTACTATCCATTCTTGCTGACGCGAATAGTCTTATCCTACAAGACTTCGACAAAATATTCAATAAATTGTTCACAAACGAAATTTATTGCAATGCTCTCGTGTCAGAATATCCGAAATAAACAATTCGTTTTCTATAATACGGGACAACGTTTCCGAGGAAAATCGGTATTTCTGGGACAAAAACTGCAACGTGAAAACAGAAAAAAGAAAAAATAAAAAGACACGCGTGTGCTTCCTTGAATATTGTGTATCTTCCGCGTTTCGTTTTATTTTCCAGACAATTTGGTAACCGCGTGCAATGCGGTGGACAGAGTCAATGTTTTTTTTGCATAGATGTATTTTATTCGTTACGGTTCACAATACCACCGAGTAGATTCCATTTTAAATTTTAGGCACACGCGAGACAGAGTTGTTGTTTATTGCATATTGTAAATTCTTTCCAGAGACTCGCAGCTCTTTTAGTTTTTTCAATCGCGTGGTAGAGTCGCTTTTGTTCCCGGCTACGGTGTTTGGTTGCGTTGGTATAGTTTCTCTTTTTTTACCGTGAAAATATTGCCTAGCTAAAAAGAACAAAAATAGTAAGAATTGTTCCAAATTTCGTTTTACGCTGAAGGGGGCATGTAGCTGGGGTGAGTCTTCCTGTCCTTACACAGGTCGAAAACCCCGATTTAGTTGATGTTCACCAATAGCCATATCGGTGCGGTGAATTTCGACGAAGTTGGTGGGCTCACTCTGGTCAAATCCACTTACCTCACCTCCACGTGGGGCCCCTGGAACCCTGTATTGACTTGTTCGATGCAGGGTACGAAAGAGTGAGTGGTTGTTGCAAGTCGGACTCGACCAGAATTGAAGAAGACACAAGTGGAAAATCTTTACAGGAAGTTAGTTTGGAGTCAAGATGAATTGATGAATACTCTACGAGTGGACTAGCATCAATATCAGAAGGTATCAGATATGCTACGCTAATAAACGTTCATGATACAACAATCCAGTTGTTATTCTTAATAGACGTGATGTTTATTCAGGAATTAAGGGCGAGTCAGGTAAATTTAACGATTGTACCGAGAAAACTGGCCTTAAAACATCGAACGATGTTTTTCTAAATAGCGTACACGATATCTATAATCGATGAATTGATTTGAAATTTTAAACCCATATTTTGATAACTTCAACACCACCCTAACCTGCACGTGCACTATTTTG